TATATTGAGATGTTGTATTTGAGTTGGAGGCTATATTGAGATGTTGTATTTGAGTTGGAGGCTATATTGAGATGTTGTATTTGAGTTGGAGGCTATATTGAGATGTTGTATTTGAGTTGGAGGCTATATTGAGATGTTGTATTTGAGTTGGAGGCTATATTGAGATGTTGTATTTGAGTTGGAGGCTATATTGAGATGTTGTATTTGAGTTGGAGGCTATATTGAGATGTTGTATTTGAGTTGGAGGCTATATTGAGATGTTGTATTTGAGTTGGAGGCTATATTGAGATGTTGTATTTGAGTTGGAGGCTATATTGATATGTTGAATTTAAGTTGGAGGCTATATTGATATGTTGTATTTGAGTTGGAGGCTATACTGAGATGTTGTATTTGAGTTGGGGGCTATATTGAGATGTTGTATTTGAGTTGGAGGCTATGTTGAGAGTGAACATTACATTGTACAAACATCCAAACATTACCTTAGTGTAACAAACAACTGTAATGGGCTTGTTTACCCACAAATTCCCTTTGTATGTTATTTTTGAAGACCACTGTAGTTAAAACATACCTGTATGATCATCCTGGCTCAGTTAAACTTTTCTTTGATATTAAACACTGAACAGAATTTTGAGTTAAATTGGCTATAAGAATGATGGACTAGATCAAACCTGTCTTTTAAGGGTTTACATGATAGGAGAGGTATGCAGTTGTCTAAGGTTTGACTGTATTAATGTATATACATAGTGACTGGACTGTGTCGGGCATATTTTACTGTGGTTTGAGATTGTCTGGCCAGGATCATCATTAATATTGCCCTTGTAAAGAAGACATATTGCTTTGGGGGGAGAGTTAAGGGAAGAGGAAGGAAATTTATGGGATCAAGTTGGTACAAACTGCACATGTTGCTCAAGGATGGGACCGGAGATGCAGGTGCCCTGTCACCATTAATGTATATAAGAGAGCAGGTTTATGTGTAGAGAGGTTAGCAGGCTAATTACACCTATAACGAGATGGATAGCTTTGAAATGGGGAAGGAAAGCTTCACACATGCCTGTCAGCCTGACTTCATTGTCCTCCCAATGTCTATAATGAGTGCAGAAATAGGCTGCATAAAGGACTCAGTCTAATTTGATGGCGATGATGATGGCAATTTATTACAGAGTGTGTCAGTATACATATGTGATGTAGATAATAACAATATGGTTTAATTAATTACAGAAGTATATACCAAGTAATGAGGGGAGTATAAAAGAACCTTCACAATTAGCATTGGTTCATCATTCAAAAAAATTGTTAGCTTCAAAAGTTGTCAGCTCAAGTTTTCAAAGGAATGTTTCTTAAAGATTTGTTATACGTATAATCAATTTTACAACTCGTATATTCAGATAATCATTTCGATTAATTAAAATATGTAATTTTAGCTCAAAATGTCAATATTTTTGAAAGTATGGCAGAAACAGGATTACAAAAATCTGGTATTAAGCTTGTCAGCCTTTGAAGTCCTGAGCCAATAAGTAAGTATTGTAATTAGAAAAGAAGATGGTCTGCTTGCTGCCAGTCATAAATACAGGTACCAAATATGAGTGCCACTGACGGACTTAGTAGACAGAATTTTGTGGGAAAGAAAGGTTCCCACTCATTAGGTGGAATGTTGATATATACATGTGTTGATAGTTTGGACAGTGTAGAGGTGGGTGGGAGGTTCATTATATCATTATAATGTATATAACACAGGAAAGATTTCCCGGGTCAATAATCTGGTAAATAATTACAATTTTACAATACTTAGATATATGTATGTGTTTGTTCCGATCATTAGTTCTTGAAGAAAATGTATTTCGGCCTTTTTGATTTTTTATAATTAATATTTTTTTAAGAAATTTGAAGTCAATTTAAAAAAAATAAAAATGTTTGATTGCAATTCAATACTATAGAGTGTATTGTTGACAAAACTGTATAAATCTCCCGTATGTCAATATGTCCCTGTGTCACATTTGGCTTTTCCAGTGTGGTTTTATAAACAGGCCTAGCCTTCATTCATTACAAATCCATACAAAAATGTGTATTTTGGATCATCAGGTCTCCATACAAATCCTCTTAGAGACCCATTTCGGATCAAGATGCCCTTCAGAAGGTTTCTTTCCACTCAAGTCTGAATCTCCGTACCATTCCTTGATAAAAGTAAGGCCTTTTCTCCTAACAAAGACCTTCTGCAAATGTGTCTGATAGTATGTAGTTCTTTTCATTCACAGAATCCTTTCTAGAGTAGCAGGCATTATCATCCTAATTAGGTGACAGGAACTTACAGATCCTAAATAACCTATACTTGTAGTCTGTGTTATGTGATAAAACAAATAGGTCAGTGTACAGCTGGTCACTTAGGGGTCAAAGCCATGTAATATCCACAATGGCCAGTTTACATGTTTAGTGTTCCATGTAGTTGTTTATAGGTACACTGTACAATGTATCATACTGACTTTGTAAAAACACTTGGCTTATCAGGAAAGTGCCTTTGACTTATCTGACATTATCTCGGAACTTGTTTAATCTTGACTTTTCTAAAGGAGATAAAAAGCCACATGTGTACTCGGGCAGTTATCACTCAAGCCATAAATATAGCATTTGGACCCTAATTGTTCATCCAAAGCCATGGTCAGCTTGACTGTTTATTTTGAGCTGTTTGGCTTCGACTAAAGATGATATTGCAAATGATTTGAGGAATAAAATGTGCCTTGGGTAAGGTATTCCCAGGTATTTGATACCTGTTTATAATGCAGACACCAATAATTGGTTGTTGACCAGTTTATGTCTATTGACCGCTAGTAAGGAGTGAACGCCCCTTCCCCCATCCCCAACCCACTGTCTGTTTATACATATATACAAACATACAGATAGGGTGCATGTGTATTGCTATGGCTTTGGGACTTATGAGGGGATCTTCTGTTAATGGGATGAGTACATATAATGTCAGTTTCTCTTCTCCTTCATGTCGTCATATGGGGATCTTCTGTTAATGTGTACATATAATGTCAGTTTCTCTTCTCCTTCATGTCGTCATATAGGGATCTTCTGTTAATGTGTACATATAATGTCAGTTTCTCTTCTCCTTCATGTCGTCATATAGGGATCTTCTGTTAATGTGTACATATAATGTCAGTTTCTCTTCTCCTTCATGTCGTCATATAGGGATCTTCTGTTAATGTGTACATATAATGTCAGTTTCTCTTCTCCTTCATGTCGTCATATAGGGATCTTCTGTTAATGTGTACATATAATGTCAGTTTCTCTTCTCCTTCATGTCGTCATATAGGGATCTTCTGTTAATGTGTACATATAATGTCAGTTTCTCTTCTCCTTCATGTCGTCATATAGGGATCTTCTGTTAATGTGTACATATAATGTCAGTTTCTCTTCTCCTTCATGTCGTCATATATATCACTTGAGCTGTATAGAATATCATAAGGGGAAAAAAATAGCCATTCCTCACTCTGATACAGTCTCTAGTGTACATGTATTGTGACTCTGATATTCAAAAATAGAACTTGCAATTCTTAGTGTTATCTTTTGACATAGCTGTTTATTTCAGTGTAGAAGTATTAAATGTTTATCAGGTAAAAAGGTTTGTTTGAAAATATTTGGCATTTTGAGAGAAAATTTCGACAGACTCACTATAAAAGATTATTTACGGCAGTTAATCTTTTACTGATGAAAAACTTATTTAATAGGGAAATTAAGACAAACATTTCAATGGTATTTAAATATTTTTCTTTAGGGTCATTATCATCACATAACTGATCTTTTTATCTGTAGTCGTGTTTTTGCTCCCATGTCAGTTTCTTTACCATACATGTATATCTCCAAAATTGACTTGAGCTAAAAACATTTCAATAGCGGTCACAATAATTTTGAGGTATCAAGGTTTGTATAGCCATAATGTGGTGTACATCTAGTACAAAACAAACCACTGCGTGACCTTGTATGTCTGTGTTCGGTCTGAGCTAAAGTTGTAGGACTTTAACAGAAGACACCAGTGTTACGTTTGTGACATAGGGGTAATATCCTATAGATAAAATAATTACAGCTTCCTTTGATAAAAGCACATGCATGTTACATCACCAAGGAACTCTTTAATGTCTTACACACGCTGCTGTCGGCTTTGTACAAAAAATGATGAGGAAAATAGCTTCTCTATATTGAAGGTTCTCAGGAAATAAAGAAAAATAAATTACTTTCCTCACAGATTTTGCCACAAGGAAGATTTTTAGTGAGCTGATCCTATCGGACTATCTTGGCTTTTTGACATGGGCATATGACATCACCATTTAATTACCAGTCTGGGACATCACTAGTGAGATCAGAGCTAGGGGGAGGGGGACATCAGAGGGAGGGGCCTGAGAACAGTTGTTTCCCTTCACTACACATCTTACCACATGCATCAGACACAACAAGTCCTGCAATCAAATCAGGCAATATCAGGAACCGCTGCAAACTGCTCAACAGAATGGGCTGCCAAATGCCAAAATATCAAAAATTATAGGGTAAAAAAAATGAGAGAAAAACCGGAAGACTTGGTTTTGGAATTAGGAGGCAACATTTGCAGCGTGTGTGTATCGGGATGGTTCTGGGAGATATAGATTGGCAAAGTATTATAAGCATCGGTGAGGCTTTATACCGAGATTTCCTGCTGTTCCCTGGAAACCTTTTGATATCAAAACCTTGAAGTTATATTACGTATGTACATAGATCGTTGATGATGGTACATGGTGGTTAGATTGTTTTCCCAACATTTGAATACCCTATCTCTACCGTAGAATAAAAAATTAAAAAACAGAGGGGTGGTTTTAATGGCATTCGATGTAGAATTTGCACTTTGGTATGTCCAGATTGCGCCTTACAGTAATACTAGCTCTACTGTATATATAGTTGTTAGGGAAGCTTGAAACAGGAGAGAATCTATCAGCAATATCCTTCGTCATCCCTGTGTTTTATTCTTTTTGCAGGGAAACTGGAACATCGATGGGAGAGGAAGCTGAAAGCTGAAAGGCAGAGGAATGTGGAAAAGTGGTTTAATCTTCTTATTATCTAGATAATGTCGGAGGCGATCAGCAGGAGTTGAACTGTTCCGACTGACTATGGCAGACATAACCTGACTGCTTCCTTATAGCCAGCCCTAGACAGCTGCCGCCCTCATCATATGGCCCGTCTCCATCCCTCGGGGGCTGATCCAGCCAGGGGACAACATGACCATCAAATATGGGTTAAAGCAGCATCCATTAGGTTCTACCACAATGTCGTTGGATTATTCAAAGATTAATATTGTTATTTATGTATAAAAACTGGATTTAATGTGAGATTATTTCGCTGGATGTGTTTTACCGACCGTTATCTTTCTGTGAAAGATATTGGAATATTTTATCATTATTTTTAACCAATGGAAGTATTTAAAGTAATATATGTGAATTGGTGTGATATTGAAAATTGAAGGGTTTACTACTTAAAGACTGATTATGTCACAGGCCAATAGTGTATCGGTGGACAATGTCCGTCACAGGTCAGCGCGGGCGGTGGAGTACTATAAACAGCGCGTGTTACCAATCTACCAGGATAAAAGGGACCATTCCCCGTCATCCCGCCAAAGGCACCACTATGGGTCAGAAGATAACCTGAACGGACTCAACACATCGGGTGAGTTCAAGGGAGGTGCCGGGGACAAGGACAGACGTGTAGGATTCAAGGACACAGGTGACGTTGTCCCACACAATGGCGAGAGGTTGCTCGTTAGGGGTGGTCACCGCGCCACATTTCACGGCACACAGTCAGGTTCATCATGGAATAAAGGCAATAGTAGAAGCGAAACATCAACGAGGGGAAATAACTCTCATTCGAAGTCTGTCCCAAAGCCAAAACAGACTCCAGAAAGCAGCGTAATGAGTAGTAGTGTTAGCAGTGGTAGTTCTTCATCAAAGCGATTCAGTCGGGGACTTTATCGCAGCAATAGTAATCTGGAGATGGATAGCATCGAGTATATTGATGCTGACGATGTGCACAATCGTAGTATACACCGGGACTATGGGAGTACCTCTTCTCTCGATATCATGGGCACAAGTACGAGTAGTGACAGTTTCTTTGCAATGTTAAAAGACTTCAAGGATGTGAATATAGATCAACGTAGTCCCGCTCCAGCCAAATTGAGTGAGTTATTACGGGGCGGGTTTGATGTGAAGGCCAACAGCATCAGAGACCGACATTTCGAAAAGGCTACAAATGGAAGTGTTCCGATTGATAAAGTGGTCGGGGAGGATGAAGTGGACAGTCCTAGAACAAAATCAAAATTCAAACACAAGGACAGGAAATCAAGGGCAAAGTCTATCACTGCAGAAACAAGACCACAGGGTCTGCTTAACAAACTCCGTGGTAAAACCGAGGTAGAGTCTGGAGCAAGGACTCCAGAAAACATTGACACTGACCTACGTGCTGAGGAAAGGCTACGATGCAAGGCCATTAACCACTACGACTGTCAGAGTCTGGGGTTCAGCATTCAGGACGTGGTGGACAAGCAGCACCAGGCTCTTACAGCCAAAAACATATCAACAGGAGCCTCCGCTGCTTCTGCAAATCGCAACAGTTTAGCCGCTGACAAAGATGCGCCAGACATTTTGGAAGACACTGACGACGGTGACAATAAAAGCAATGGCCTCGTTTTGAGTTGTTCGTTTTTCCGTAATGAGACTGGAGGCGAGGAGGAAAGAACGATAAGTCTAGGAAAGACTACTGTGTCGAAAACCCCCTCTCTGAACACGTCCCAAAGTGCAATAAGTACCATACCAAGTCGCTCTCCAGCCTGTTGTGGCTTATCAATACTCGACTCTGCCCCAACACCTACTGGACTAATACTTCCCCACGTAGTGTTACACAGGGGTCATGTGATAGAAGGAGACGACCGTGGGGCCACCTACTATCGTCACTTTTTCTACGGCTACGGTAGGTATTCTGTGTGTGTCTTCCCGTAATTGTAAGGATTCTTAACTATAATTTTTGTAAATATCGATTTTTCGAAGTAACTTACTTATTACCAATGGCCTTTCAAAATATGGTTTAATTTGCCACTGTGCTGGCATAGATATATACCTATTATATACATAAAGCTCCTTGCATCCATAGCACCATGATCACGACCAAAGTATAGGTCAATCCTTTAATATATACAGTATAACCTCAGTATAATGCCACTCATTATACATGCCACCTCCATTACTACTAGCATATCTCAAGGTCCTTGTTCTCTTTTCATTAAGAAATCCTTGTATATATCCTCCTGATTGTCACCAAACCCCATTTTAATGCCAAAATTTCTCTGGACGAAAATGACAGCAGTGTAACGAGGTTTTACTGTATCTACATATTTATATTGTCCATATATGATAATATAATATGCAGCATTGACCTATAGTGCCCTATCTAGCTAACATAAGCCACTCTAAAGCGCAGATATACAATTTATACAATTAGCATATACATTAATCAATACAATTTTGAGGAATTCGCAGGAGCTGCCTTATCAGGCGCTACATGCTAGTCCTATGCCACCTGGCTAATATCTCCCTATGTGTGTATGCCTGCCTGTGTCCTGCAGATGTAATGTATTATAGATATGATATATATCACTCACTTACAAATCGTCTCCGTATTGAAACAGTTGTGGATATTATACAATTTTTCATGACATCATGATCTCCTGAAGCAAATCACATGGCATCCCCTGTAGTGCTATAATTAAAAAAGTGGTGTTGGGATTTGGGTGGCTTTATGTAATACAACAAGTGCTATGTTAATGAAAATATCATCAAATTAAGATAGCTCTTCAAAGCATAGTTAGCATTTTGCCTTTGGCAGTCCATCATTTGACACCAGGAAAAAGTAACTCATTCACCCCTGAAGACACATTTGAACTGCTCCAATTCAAAGGTTGGAATAGTTTATTATGAATTTTTAGGGGTGCATGAGTTAATGATATATTTTTGATGATTGATGTACCTGTCCCGACTAATCTTAACACCTGTTTTATGATCACAGTTATAGAAAATGATTTTACCGATAGTATTGATATTGTAGGCCTTAAAACTGAACCATCTGGCAGGTATCCAGTATTATGTCACCAGCTCGATCCTATTGCCCATAATCAACCTCAACTTCCGAGTCAGGGATTCTCCTTACAGATTAATACAGCAGGGGATAATATGTATACTAATCCTATGAATAAGCTATATGCCAATATAGGTCGAAGAAATAATCCTTTAAATCTTGATAAAGTTACTTTGAACATTGCTGTTCACTATCCATTAAATTGCTGTTCACTATCCATTAAATTGCTGTTCGCTATCCATTAAATTTCGATCAAGTTACTTCATGGATATTTACAACTTCACCTGAACTCACTTGCATTTAGTTATCTTTCCATACGAAAGTTGCCCAAAATGGTTCCGATAGTCTATACAATAAAATCATAAATACAACACATAATAGTGAAACTAGTGGTTGAGCCAGGATTAATGATTTACAAAGTTTGTCTGTTTGTGAATTCACAAGTTTCAAGGTTATAATTGAGTTGCTACTTTGTACGCCTCTGGATCAAGTTTGAGAAAATCATTAACTACGGGTATAATTTCTTTCTCAAATTAAATTCCAGATAGTTTTCATTTTCAGCCCTGTGAAAATTCAATTAGGAAGTTAGGAAACAATCCTGGTTTAAATTGTTTGTAAAAACTGGGCTGCAGTTTTTCTTCTGAAATTAAATTCCCTGCACAACTGTAAGATTATAGCTGTGATTATGATTTTTTATATTTTTTGAAATGAAGGGCCTGCATAATTTTCTTCCTTTATTTAAAGTTCATCTTAGGATTAGCTGCAAAATAAAATACCAGGGACAAAAACAAAATGAATATCTAAATTATTCATGTTACCAGACCCAGTTCTCCAACGTGTGTCTTACAGCACGGTGTACCTTTCTAGGAATAGAATATTATCACAAATAAGTTACATCACAGGGTGTCAGTGGTGTGGCCGGCGGGGTCAGCTCCACACCATGCATGGTGATTAACCGTTTCACCTCTGGCCCGGGACTACTAGGCTGAGAAGTAATGATGGAGATGGGATTAATATTGATCCCTTTGGGTGTACTCGCCAGGAAATGTGCAGGTCAAAGGCTTAATCTAATCATTGTCACTTTATAATTACTCCAAGACCAAGTAATTCAATCTGTCGCTTTAAAGTGCTGCATGCCCTTATACAATATATGCAAATTGTATCTCTCTTGGAAAAAGGTCCCCAGCACTTGTACGATGACGTAGAGTGATTTCATACAAATTATAATGCTATTTTGGCCCAGTTGTATTTGTATCAACATCAAAGGCCGTCCAGCCAATATTTACACTACAGAGATGTTTTACGTTCCTGTAAATTGTAGTGTATCCCTGTTACATTGTAATCCCTGGATAAACAATAAGTTAATGGTGTGGACAGCACGCAAAACTCGGTCCGGAAAAACAAAGATAAAGGCAGCGCTCCAGGGGTCAGTCTCACATTAGGCTAGCTGATCCAATGAAAGGCTGACCTCAACCAGCTTGTCGGTTTACAATGACCTTAGGTCATTCTTTGATATGCTGACAATGACCATGGTGTATAGGTACTGGCCCAAAATATAGACAGACTCACTCGTATGATTTGATATAGGGGCAATACACTTACAGCGGTTAGTCGATATTCCATTCATCGGTATATATATAATCTGTAAGTGATTATTTTTAACATAGTTTTAAGAAATGTGTTAATTGATTATTAAACAAATATTTTGTTACTTTATGATAAAGAATTGGTGCTTCTAGTTTGCATATATATATACATAACATATCATATTTACTTGTGATTCCCAGCTGGGTACCATTTAACCTTGAGTGATTCAAATTCTCTTTTTAGGATTGCTTTGTCCCTAAATTAGGCAAAAAATGAAATGTTTCCATACTGCAGTAAATTTACAATGAAACTTAGTGTTTTTTTCTAGAGAATTTCGGAAAGTCGAGGAATCATTCTAAATTCCCCAAATCAGAATTTTATGAGCAAAGAGCACTTGTAATTACAATTAATGTAGGTTAAATATAATACGTCTATAACATAGAAAGCTATTTAGCTAAAGTTTATGACGTAATGATTAATGAAATAAAACACCTCCATTATTTAAGGCCAATGTACATATAAAGCATAGTACATGTTCTTTATACTATAAACAATAAAAGAACATCTTAATTATAAAAACGCTTTCTTTCTATTATCAGAACCATCTGTTTTTTTTGGAATAGAACTGACAGCAACAGACAGTGCTCGTATATAAGTTGGTAGGCTGTTATAAAGTTGCCATGCACCAGTGTAACTCTGTACGCTGGCCATGTAATACGGGGGAATACAAGTGTAAACAGCTAATATAACATTGCGCCATCAATAAATGTTACATACAGGCACCCTCACATCTCTCAATCAAAAGGATCGTTTGAATGCTAAAGTTGACATACCGACATAGAAAGTGTTTCTGTTACCATGACAACACGATGCTATCAGATGTTGTCAATTTTTCACCGAGTTAATTTCGGTGTGTCGGCTAATAAAAAATGTATGTTTTATATATACTGGTGTACTGAACAAACGGCAGCATTCAGTGGGTAGCCTGACAATCAACACATGTTTTTTTTCATGTTTTTTTGCACCAATTCAGGAGTTATCAGTAAATCATAACCACAGAGGATGATAATTAGTGGCAAAAGGGTAAAGTTGATGTCGGTGCGGCTAGGGTACAAGTATAGCCTGTCATAGCATTTTCACTGGTAACACTACTGGGAGACCCACCTAGTAATAATTAGTCTTTATCTTTTAATATACAGGGGAACAAGAAGATGGGCTCACGTAGGGGGAGGGAGGGAGGGGGGGTTAGTGTATAAGGGTAGGGGAGAGAGCGGTAAGAGGTGTTTTTTTTGGGGGGGGGGGGGGGGCAGGGACAATATTCAGAAAAATTGAGAAATCACACTTGGCATACATAACCTATATGCACTATAATACAGATAGACTTTGTAATACTGCCACCATTTGTCAGGAAGAATTTGGCAAAAAACTTTGACAAGAAAAAACTATTTTTTCTAAGAAACAGCACGAGTTCTGCCTATCCAGTAAGGCTATATAGAGTTTCCAAAATGTTGTTTAAAATGGGAGAAAAAAACCTGTATTGTCTTGGGAGGGTATAAAAACATCAGTTTAAATATGTCAGGAAACTGATCTTACTCGGTATAGATAAAACTTTAAAACAAAATAGATAGGGTGGAAGGAGACAGAAGGCTACATGTACAGTATACTGATTACAGGGGAACAGACACCGGATCAATGATGTTATATATACATATGTAACAGGTATACCAGGCAGTATATATAGATGTTGTCTGGGGAAGGGGGATGGAGGGTTGGAGTCTAAGGGAAATTAAATCTGATCATGTACATGTGTGGTCAGAAGGGTTCTGACCAGTACAGGAGACAGGGGAGATAAAACAGGCACAGGAAGGGATAAACCAGTAACTGGACCTCCCAGGCCTGATAATTCACTCCACTGTCAGATGATTAAATATAGGTTACAGTTGCTGGATTAAAGACTTGTTATCTTAACTTGAATTTAGAGGGTGGGGGTTGAAAAGTTACCTGCATGTGTTATTCTGATGTACATGATGTATGTATGTACTGTACTAGTCAATTAGTTAACAGAAGTGTGGTAGAAAATTGACTCAAATACAGGTATTTTAAAGAACTTATTTAGCAAAATATTGTCAGCCATGAGCTTTACATGTACAGCATTCGACAACATTTTAACCCCAGTACTAGTGTGTTGGTAGACTGGCTACCTGCAGTCCCTATTTTTTTTATGAAGAAAATCCCAGCTGCATATTACTACTAGCTTATTTATTTCCCCCTAGTTAAGAACTTGGGAATCAGACATCCAAGTGTTCAAAAATATTTCAGTGATTGTTTTTGTAAATAATTCAATATTCTAGAGACATGGGCCAGTCCAGTGTGTTGGTAACGCAGTAGTTGTGGGGGCTAGGTCTTCTACTTTATGTCATATATTATTTCAGGGCTATCCATTGATACATGTAGGATCCCCGGATCTTACATGAGTTTCCATTTCATATGAGATGTATGAAACCGAGATGTATGAAACAAGTCCAAGAGTTTTTCAATTTAGCGAGCCTCTGGCGAGCTAAAATGAAAAATTTGTGACGAGTTTCATATATTTCAAATGAAATGAAAATGAGTGTAAGATCCTTTTTATCACACATTCTAGATTTGTGGCATTTATGACATTCATGCAACCTTGAAATGTAAAAAGCCGCCATTTTGTGCGCAAGTCTTTGATGTCATGTACATAAACATGTACATATCCTAGGCGTGACGTCACAATTGAAACAATCGAAACTTACAACAGGGCTGATAGGTCATACTACATGGGTTAATATGCAAAAAATTATGACATGAGTACATTCACTGGATTGTACATTATGTGATCAAATTATTTCTTTTCCACACCTGACAAATTATTTTATATAAATGTGTGTGTGTGTGTTTGTGGAATAGAATACAAGGAAATAAAGATCAGTTGAACACATACCTTCAGGAAATTCCTTATTCTAATTAAGCAGGCCTTAAAAAGCTTCTTTTTAACGCTTGGTGTATACTTTTGATTGCAGACCACCAGAACTACTTCGGAATAGACGAGAACCTCGGTCCAGTTGCAGTCAGTCTGCGGAGGGAAAAGTTGGATGACCGAGAAAACAACCTAGGAAAGGCTGAATATGGCCAGTACCACTACAGAATCATCTTCAGAACCAGTCAGGTACACACTTAGAAATCTGTTTGTATCTTTGCTCCCCAGTCCACCAAGGAAGCGTACTCGCCTGTACATCTCCGTCCATCTTTCTGTCTCCTACGTATATACTCCCATAAAGAAGGGGGACTACCCATGCCCCCGCCACATGAAAAGGAGATTTTGGGGTACCCATACAATTCCTGTGTGTCCATGTCTCCGTCTCTTAAAAACAGAAAGAGAGGGGACTACTCACTTGTCTAGTAGTCCATCTCAGTACCCTGCACACAGAAGGAAAGAGAAGTACCTACACAAGTATGTCTATATATCTCTGTTCCCTACACGAAGAAAAGAGAAACCTGTCTCTATCTTTTTGTGTCCTGCGTTTACATGTTTTTACATCTCTTGCTCTCACAGCTGGGAAAGAGTACCCAAATATATCTGTCCTCTATACAAAGGGAAGTGGGACATCCACGTACCTTTCTGGTCATTTGTCTGTTGTTTTGAATGCAAAGGGAGAGAAATCTACCCCCACAAACCTGTACCCCATACACAAAGTAAGAAGGATCATATTTCTTTCCACTTAGACAGAAGGAAGGAAGAACTACCCACAAAAAAAACCCATTAAGTCATTGTTTAGGGATAAAGAAATATTGAAGCTGGACCAGCTTACAGCATCAGATCCGCGCTATCACAAGGAGGCAAGCACGCCAACATACCCCATCTCTTGCATACACACACGCAAGCACACATACACTACACATGGAGGCATGTCCTTAAAGGACCTTAATTAGCTGCTAATAGGACTCAAAACAAAATTAAACCAAACCAAACATCGACACTACATGAAATGATTTCTTTATCTCAAAGGGAAATCTCCACTATCTATCAAATATAACCCTCACTTCTCTACTACCTAATATAACTCTTACTGTACATAGGTGATAGTTGTCACTGGTTTTACCCATCTTGTACTTGGTGAATGTTAATAGTATTTTCTGAAACCTTAGGTTTACCTAATGTCTGTTAAAGTTTTGCTCAATAAACTCAGTGTTATTTTAGTTTTGTCCTTTTATTTCACCAGTTGACCACCTTGCGAGGGTCAATCCTTGAGGATGCCATTCCGTCGTCAGGGGGTCGGCTGAACAGCTCCCGTGGGGTTCCTGTCAAAGATATCCTGGATTTCGCCTTACCAGAGCTCCAGGCTTCCTGTCTTAAACAATCTCTTTCTAGTCAGAAAACATCCGACCAGCTCCTCAGGCTGGATGAACAAGGGGTAAGGTCATAAGGTTAAATATTGTGACACAATTGCTAACACTATTCAAGGTAAAATATGTTAGTGTTCCATGACAGTTTAAAAAAATATTGTAAAATCTATATATTGTGAAATTCTTAAAAAACAGCAATTGGTCATTTATTTGATTTGTATTTTCATGTTTTGGGTGTATCCTGATGATATCGTATTGATAGAATAGTACTCTGGAAATCTTGGTCACGTATGTAATTTATTCAAAGCTGTTCACGATGTTACTGAAACAATTTTTGGGATCTCATGTGGATGAGTCTGTCTTCGTGATGTAATCATGACGTCACAGTTATGATTTTCTGTTCTAGGATTCATTTTAGAGAAGAGACGATAAGAGAATAAAGATGTACACATATTTATATATATATAAATGAATTCCAATATTACTGAATATCATAAAAGTGAAGTATGATAATAATCTTTGTAAACTTGTATTTTCCACAACAGGTGTCGAAAACGTACAAAATCGGAGTAATGTATTGTAGAAGTGGGCAGTCCACGGAGGAGGAAATGTACAGCAATGGTAAATAGGGCTTCCTACTTTAAAATATAAACTTGATTTATTTTACAATAATTATGAAACAAGTTATGTCAACTTATATTAATCAATCTTGTTGGCCCGGATATTGGCGCGCGGGGTGGGGTCTTAGTGTGGGAGGACACCAGAGTACCCGGAGAAAACCCACATGGTCGGGCACGTGACCCCATACCTTTTCATGTCCGATCGGGAAATCAAACCCCGGTCACCTTGTTGAAAGCCAAGTGTGCTATCCACTGCACCACCCGACCACCCAGCTTCCAACTACATACCACAATATCAGCTGTTATTGTTACGCTACACACATGTGTCAGTAGTTAATTGTCACACTTAATGTTTCTGATTTGAACAGATTTAATATATACTTTAGTTATTGTTTTACAACAATTATGAACAAGTTATTCAACTTGTATTAATCCCTCTTGTTCGCCCAGATGTTAACGCGCTGGGAGTCTTAATGTGGAAGGAAACCAAAGTGCCGAGAGGAAACCAGGGGTGTGACTCTGTACCTTTTTATGTCCCCTCGGGGAATCAAACTCAAGTCGCCGAGGTGAAAGGAGAGAGCACTTTCCACTACACTAGCCGACCACCCATTTGAAGTGATTTGTTAGGATGCAAGTGTGAATTAAGTTTATAAAATGTTTTTTTCTTCTTGCAGAACACTCTGGACCAGCATTCGAGGAATTTTTGAATTGTATAGCCCAGAAAGTGAGATTAAAAGGTTTAGAGAAATATAGGGCCCAATTAGACAACAAAAGTAAGTGTGAACACCCAGCAATGAAAAACAGGGTTCTAAAAAGTTGATTAATGGGAATGTTAATTATACAATTAATTAACATGATCGGAATCATTTAGTTAACTCATCGACCCCTGAAGACACATTTGAACTTTTTCAGTTCAAAGGTTGGAATAGTTCATTATGAAATTTCAGGGGTAAATGAGTTAAAATGTCATGTAAAGGAAAAACTGTTTTATACATTATCTTAATTTTGTATTTTTGTAAGTGTAAACATTAATTTACCTGAGTTTGTTGACAATTTTGGTAAACTCGTGTCAGAACAATATAAATTATCTGTGTTGCAGTCACAGTATTATTATAGTTAAAGGCCAAGGTGTTATGTGATTGCTATAAGATTGAGAGAGAAAAATAGCTTTTCATTTCTTCTGACTTGTCACTTGGGTATTATCATCAGGATGAATCAGATTTAGAATCATTGAGTTGTATTGAACTAATTAATTTTGTTTCTAATTTGTTTACAGCCGATTCTACAGGAACGCATTCCTATTATGCTACCTTTAGTAACTGTGAGATCATGTTCCATGTGTCGACTCTCCTCCCCTACACAGCTAGTAATAAACAACAGGTAAGTCTTTGACACCTCCTCCCCTATACAGCTAATAATAAACAACAGGTAAGTCTGACACCTCCTCCCATATACAGCTAGTAATAAACAACAGGTAAGTCTGTGACACCTCCTCCCCTACACAGCTAGTAATAAACAACAGGTAAGTCTGTGACACCTCCTCCCCTACACAGCTAGTAATAAACAACAGGTAAGTCTGTGACACCTCCTCCCCTACACAGCTAGTAATAAACAACAGGTAAGTCTGTGACACCTCCTCCCCTACACAGCTAGTAATAAACAACAGGTAAGTCTGTGACACCTCCTCCCCTACACAGCTAGTAATAAACAACAGGTAAGTCTGTGACACCTCCTCCCCTACACAGCTAGTAATAAACAACAGGTAAGTCTGTGACACCTCCTCCCCTACACAGCTAGTAATAAACAACAGGTAAGTCTGTGACACCTCCTCCCCTACACAGCTAGTAATAAACAACAGGTAAGTCTGTGACACCTCCTCCCCTACACAGCTAGTAATAAACAACAGGTAAGTCTGTGACACCTCCTCCCCTACACAGCTAGTAATAAACAACAGGTAAGTCTGTGACACCTCCTCCCCTACACAGCTAGTAATAAACAACAGGTAAGTCTGTGACACCTCCTCCCCTACACAGCTAGTAATAAACAACAGGTAAGTCTGTGACACCTCCTCCCCTACACAGCTAGTAATAAACAACAGGTAAGTCTGTGACACCTCCTCCCCTACACAGCTAGTAATAAACAACAGGTAAGTCTGTGACACCTCCTCCCCTACACAGCTAGTAATAAACAACAGGTAAGTCTGTGACACCTCCTCCCCTACACAGCTAGTAATAAACAACAGGTAAGTCTGTGACACCTCCTCCCCTACACAGCTAGTAATAAACAACAGGTAAGTCTGTGACACCTCCTCCCCTACACAGCTAGTAATAAACAACAGGTAAGTCTGTGACACCTCCTCCCCTACACAGCTAGTAATAAACAACAGGTAAGTCTGTGACACCTCCTCCCCTACACAGCTAGTAATAAACAACAGGTAAGTCTGTGACACCTCCTCCCCTACACAGCTAGTAATAAACAACAGGTAAGTCTGTGACACCTCCTCCCCTACACAGCTAGTAATAAACAACAGGTAAGTCTGTGACACCTCCTCCCCTATACAGCTAGTAATAAACAACAGGTAAGTCTGACACCTCCTCCCCTACACAGCTAGTAATAAACAACAGGTAAGTCTGTGACACCTCCTCCCCTATACAGCTAATAATAAACAACAGGTAAGTCTATAAACAGGTGTGAATCCTCCCCTACACAGCTAGTAATAAACAACAGGTAAGTCTGTGACACCTCCTCCCCTATACAGCTAGTAATAAACAACAGGTAAGTCTGACACCTCCTCCCCTACACAGCTAGTAATAAACAACAGGTAAGTCTGTGACACCTCCTCCCCTATACAGCTAATAATAAACAACAGGTAAGTCTATAAACAGGTGTGAATCCTCCCCTACACAGCTAGTAATAAACAACAGGTAAGTCTGTGATACCTCCTCCCCTACACAGCTAGTAATAAACAACAGGTAAGTCTATAAACAGGTGTGAATCCTCCCTTACACAGCTAGTAATAAACAACAGGTAAGTCTGTGACACCTCCTCCCCTATACAGCTAGTAATAAACAACAGGTAAGTTTAGAAACAGGTGTGAATCCTCTCCTACACAGCTAGTAATAAACAACAGGTAAGTTTAGAAACAGGTGTGAATCCTCTCCTACACAGCTAATGAAACAACAGGTAAGTCTATAAACTTTTTAACAAGCATAACTGTCATCTATTCCACATCATGTCAAAATACAATCTGAAGTCTGTTAGTTCTAGTCATAATTCATGAGAAAATATAACGGGAAAAGAAAGTGTACAAATACATTATAATGTGTAGAAACTTGAAGAGAAATTCTCATGTTCTCATTTTACAAAAATGACATGGTGATTTCATTGCATTTCTTATCTCTTTTGCAGTTGCTACGCAAACGCCACATAGGAAACGATATTGTAACCATTGTATTTCAAGAACCTGGAGCATTGCCATTTACGCCAAAAGTGGTGCGGTCCCAGTTCCAGCATGCCTTTATCATTGTCCGCTGTCACAATCCTTGTACAGAAAATGTCCATTACAGGTATTTTTCATATTTCATAGATTCATATTTCTGAAAGTAAGAACCATATGCAATTGAAATCATGGAAATTCTCATTAATTTACCTTAGTCAACAATCCACGTCCTGTCCTTTAATGACCTTAGCTGTTAATAGGGCATTAAACAAAATTAAACCAGACCAAACAAAACCTAGTCAACAATCGTTGGCGCTTACTCCAAGCAATGTTTGTTGTCTGTCATCAAAGTTAAATTTTCAGAAAAAGTCAAAGCTTTTACAAGATCTATGGGATGTCCTGGATTTCCTGAAAAATGTTTATGAGAAGTAAAACAAATTTCAAACCTCCGACAAGAAGATTTAAATGAGAAAGTTCAGGTTTTCTGAAATTTCATGAGATATTCCATACAGTTGTATCTTTATACAGATAGAGTTTATGTACAGATAGATATAACTTCAGTCAACATGTTGATAAGTTGTGTTGTTTGTCTTTCAGTGTTGCTGTTAGTCGTTCCAAAGATGTCCCGCCCTTTGGTCCCCATATACCAGAAAATGCCTTCTTTAGTAAATCCCAAGATTTCGCCGACTTTTTGTTGGCAAAATGTAAGTACATTAGTGAAAGCTTCAGCCCCAGAAGTTTGTGTATTTTTTCTAGTACTTCCAAACATCTAAGGCATGAATAAAATTACCTGTAATAAAAAATACAATATATCATAGTCCAAAGTGATGTCATTTACATGTAAATGAGAGTTTTTCCATGGTTGATTTTCTTTTTTATGTAAAATAGATATATCCAGTTAACCTGGTTAATTCAGCCACCACTGATCTACCTATAGCTACCCACTCTCCATTCAGTGTTTTAGGCCATAGATTGACTTTTAGCTAATTACTTGAGTGTGTTCCAAAGTGTATCATTCAGCTCATAATGACACTTATGTTTGAGGTGAAGGTAGCCAGATAATTTAGACTCCACTGTAGTTGTAATGTTCAGAAAACTTTACCCGTAAAATAAATTACTACGAGTTACTAATATTAGCATAAAAACTGTAAAAAAAATCAAATTGTTTGTTTGTGGGTGTATCTGTTTGTTATCGTTTATTTTATGAATTAAAATTCTTGCAGATATAAAGCTGAATTAGAATCCTCACAGAAAATCTCAATTGTGATGAAGAGTTTTGATGAAAATGACAATATTAACAGTAAACATAGAGAGATTTCTTTTTACTCACAATATATAAATCTGTCAATTAGTCATGTGTGAACATTTATGATGATGATTTCAGTGATAAACGCTGAACATGCTGCCCACAAGTCTGAGAAGTTCCTGGCGATGGCAACCAGGACCCGGACAGAATACCTCAAAGATTTAGCCCTCAATCATGTCACGTCCAACGCTCCCGACACCGGGTCCAAACTCAGTAAGTCGTAGTGTTTGTGTGTACACAAACATGATTTTTTCTTTCTTCAATATAATTTGAGTTTATTTTTACCATATTACAAAAAGGATTTGACTTCAATTTCCTCCAAATTTGACTGCTTTGAGTGTTTTGTTTTGACGAGTTTAAAAAAAAACCTCAATCATTTATTTGGACCATAACCTAAAATAAATTTAAAAAATATAATAATCTGAACATAATTCTTCAGTGATGCTCTTCTGATATTTTCATTTTAGCTGTGGCGATCCTCTTTCAAAACTATAAAAGTAGTTTATAGTTTGGAAGTCATAGTTTCGTTTTTGTCTCAATGTCTGTTTTATTTTTTATTTAACAGGTAAGTTTGGACTTGGCAGTGGTAAGAAGAAGGAGAAGAGTAAACAGAAAGTCATCCCCGACATGTTCTCTAGTGGCGCCATCTCCTGGAGTATTGTTGTAAGTGTTACTGTACATACACGTCTGACAGCAATCAAGTGATCAGTTAGTAGGTGTGGGTACAAATCTTGACTGGTTACCAGGTGACGATCATTCGTGTTCGACCTCTGAACAGTAACCCGTTTGATATTGTCAATCTGTGGGAAAGCCGTAGGTGCTAAATATTGGTGTCAGCCAATAACTGTTTAGTGTTTGCACTCGAAAAGAAAGAAAGGAGAAGAAGAATATTTCATATCATATAAACTATATATATATACATAAAATACAAACTATATATATATACATATAATACAAACTATATATATATATACATAAAATACCAAACATATGAGACTTATTTTTAAAAAAAAGTTACCATATTTACTGAAATTAGTGTGCAGGGGGCTAGAAAAAGAAGTTACCATATTCACTGTAATTAGGGTCAATGGTGTTTTGGGAAAAAAGTTACCATATTTTCTGTAATTAGTGCCCCAGGGTGCTTGGGAAAAAAAGTTACCATATTTACTGTAATTAGTACCCAGGGTGCTTGGAAAAAGAAGTTACCATATTTACTGTAATTAGTGCCCAGGGTGCTTGGGAAAAAAAGTTAACATATTTACTGTAATAAGTGCCCCAGGGTGCTTGGGGAAAAAAAGTTACCATATTTACTGTAATAAGTACACAGGGTGCTTGGAAAAAGAAGTTACCATATTTACTGTAATAAGTACACAGGGTGCTTGGAAAAAGAAGTTACCATATTTACTGTAAGTAATTCCCCGGGTCCTTGAAAAATTGGCTGAAGGGATGTTTGTTAAGATAACAATAGACAAGCCATGGCTTTTATTACAGCAAATACAGTATACATTTCATCCAAGGTTTCTTCTGCAGTTTTCCGTCATGACTTAGTATGAATTAGTTGAGTAAAGCTTTACAAACTCCCCCCTTTTGGTTGCAGGCAGAAGACTTTGGACAGTCCACCCAGGTAGACGGTATCCTTGGTATCTCTGACGAGGTGCTGGTCATCACAGAAGAGAGCAGTAAGCTGGTCATCTTTACTGTCCACTGTGGAGCCATCATAGGCTGGACATCTCAGGCCACAAGGTAAGGCCAGCCTGTGTAAAATTAATAGCATCTGTTTTGATGTAAATTAGGTCAATTAATTTTTCAGCATTTTACTTGGATATTTTTATACACTTGAGATAATCAAAACTGAAAAAAAACAGCATTTCAGTAATAGTAGTCGAAAATAAAACTAGAGTGATCGGAGTGTTGCATGAAGCTTGGGGAAAAGTAAGCATCTGTTGAGAAAAACAATATTCTAGAACAAAGGATTGAATCACAGCTATTGTGCTGTATGGACTATTTGGACACAGAGGAGCCTGTAAGATGTCTTTGATCTATAACCATAATATCATCTTCTTATAGTTCAATCCTGAATAATTCAGAAATTTGTGTAATTCAATGTTCTGTTGACTTATCACTGATAATAGTTTTTCATGTATATCAAACTTGTTACAGTTCTGATTTCATCTAACCTAGCTGGTTGCAGCATGTAAACCGGTAATAAAACTATGGAATCCAGATATTGATGCTCCGTGGTTTATATCCTTTCTTTAAGTTTAGTTTTTGTCATAGCTGCATTACTAAAGAAATAAGGAAACTATTATTTTTTATGATCTCTGTTTCAGTGTGAAAGTTTTCTACAATCAAGGAGAGAGTGTGCTGTTCAAACCTCAGAGTGGAGAGATGGAAGAAATTAGTGAGATCTGTACGAGACTGTCTGCTGTCTCACAAGGCTGTGAGGTAGGTGTACTATACTATACATATACAAGTGTAATGAGATCTGTACGAGGCTGTCTGCTGTCTCACAAGGCTGTGAGGTAGGTGTACTATACTATACATATACAAGTGTAATGAGATCTGTACGAGGCTGTCTGCTGTCTCACAAGGCTGTGAGGTAGGTGTACTATACTATACATATACAAGTGTAGTGAGATCTGTACGAGACTGTCTGCTGTCTCACAAGGCTGTGAGGTAGGTGTTCTATACTATACATATACAAGTGTAGTGAGATCTGTACGAGGCTGTCTGCTGTCTCACAAGGCTGTGAGGTAGGTGTACTATACTATACATATACAAGTGTAGTGAGATCTGTACGAGGCTGTCTGCTGTCTCACAAGGCTGTGAGGTAGGTGTTCTATACTATACATATACAAGTGTAGTGAGATCTGTACGAGACTGTCTGCTGTCTCACAAGGCTGTGAGGTAGGTGTACTATACTATACATATACAAGTGTAGTGAGATCTGTACGAGGCTGTCTGCTGTCTCACAAGGCTGTGAGGTAGGTGTACTATACTATACATATACAAGTGTAGTGAGATCTGTACGAGACTGTCTGCTGTCTCACAAGGCTGTGAGGTAGGTGTACTATACTATACATATACAAGTGTAGTGAGATCTGTACGAGGCTGTCTGCTGTCTCACAAGGCTGTGAGGTAGGTGTACTATACTATACATATACAAGTGTAGTGAGATCTGTACGAGACTGTCTCACCAGCTGTACTTAACATATACAAGTGTAGACATGAGATATGTTCTAAACTGTTGTATTTCAGGGCTGTGAGGTAGATATACATCTTGTTCTAAACACACAAGTGTGACCTCTACCCAGACTTTCTTTCTTTTGAAAAAACCCAATTAGTCCTCTTACAAACATCTGAAATTCTTTTGGCCAACAGTGTCCTGAAAAGTCATTGAATTGCATCTGTCTAATATCAGCCCTGTAAGATCACTTAACCATGGATTGACATTTTGACAATTAAAGTGTTGAAGTATTATCTCCACAATGACGGTTTATGTGCGATATTTAAACCCTTGAATTCTATGCTTTACAGACACAGAGGTTGTGTAACTTGGTGTTGTGTTACATTTTAGTGTGACAGGTGGCTATGATATAATAGCATGTTACCATCATGGGTCTCACAGTGAAGCTAGTAATCACGAATAGATGTTAACACCTGCCAAGACCTCTTATCATCATCAATGGAAAAGCTTATCAGTGATATCACTCTACACAGCATTAACATTTCGGTGTATTACAGATGTTGAGACAGTGTTCACGTTTATCCAGGTTTCCTGTGTCGAGATATCTGTCAGTTATGTAAGCACAACCCTGATCATGAGAATTTGTCGTATCTTGATCATGAGAATTGATCATGAGAATTTGTCGTATTATGATCATGAGAATTTGTCGTATCTACCAGTTTATGTTTTGAAGAAAGTTGAGGTGCATTTGAAATGTTTCTTCAATACTATTACTGTTACTAGTAGCCATTATTAATCTACCTAAAACATCTTCAACTAAGTACCAAAAGAAAATTTTTTTAAACATATTATTCTACTGACTTGAAACTGTTTTCAAAATATAATTTCAATTGTACATTTTTCTGCAGACGTTAGACATGACATTACGTCGGAACGGTCTCGGCCAGCTCGGCTTCCACATACAGACGGAGGGCATTGTCACTGATGTGGAGGCCCGCGGGTTTGCCTGGGAGGCGGGGCTTAGGAAGGGCAGTCGATTAGTGGAAATCTGTAAGATATCCTCGGCGACATTGATCCACGAACAGATGGTTGACCTTTTGAGGACTTCAGTCACGGTCAAGGTCGTTGTTATACATCCACTTGAGGATGGAACCCCCAGGTATGAGTCCGACTAACACGGTATTTACCTGTCGTTACTGGTGTTTGTAGGGTGTACAAGTTCTTATTTCAGGTTTTATACAATATCATAGCTATACCTAGATACAATGTGAAATATTAATATTGACTCAATACTCTATAGACTAAAAAAATAAACAGTTTTCCAATGTCTGTTTACATTTGTTATCCAAAACCATCTTGAGATTTCAATGTTACTAGGTTCCATTGCAGTGAGATTTATAAGTGTTGAAGGATTAAAAAAAGATTCAGTCATAAACATGGATTCCAGAACCATGTTAACCGTTTCACCCCTAGGTAACTTAAATACACTCTACCATACTTTTTATATGGAAGAGTCCATTATGGTCTATAGTAGTGAAGGGGTTAAGTATGATCTTTTATTACAGATGAAGTAGTTGCTATTTTTTTCTGTAAAATAAGATAGATACCTTGATAAAAAAAATATATGCTGAAATTGATGTAATTAATCTGACATCTGATATTATCCATCTTATTTAAACAGAATATTATTATAACCAGATGTATTGATACTTTTTTTGTTTTGTAAAATAATTAGAAGTCTAATAATGTACATTATGCAAGTTTTCTCCGTGTACTAAAATATTTTGGAGCAGTAAAACTAGTTGAATGTAGTTTCAATGAATGACCTTGACATACATTGAAAGTTATTTTAACAGCGACTGCCAAAATCCATCTTGAAATGTTTACTATACTAGTGCAGTGTCACTTGTCAGATCATTCTGCAGGATTGATAATAAAACTCATGTATTCATACAGATATTCCAGGAATTGTAAACAAAATTCCACGAATAAAGCTGAATACTTCCACAAATAAACCTGACGACTATCTTCAGGCCTGACTTGTCCAGTGTGCATTAACCGACCCGTTGTTGTGGTCACCGACAACACCAGGCTTCACTCTCATCCCCAAGCTGTATCAAGTCAATCTTAAATCATCGATACATCTTCATCTCTTCAGCATCAGTCTTTAAATAAAAACTTTTTATAATACTGGTAGAATTTCATTTATAGCTCTGACTAATTACCATTCATTGTTCAAATCTTTAACAGTTCTGGGGCGATAAATCAGTTAATTGATACACTATTTGGTGTACAGCAAACTTTAAGTCCTGTAGGGCTGTACCATTGTAGCTTCATCAAGGCTGTATTTCTTAGTTTCATCATTTTTCCAGTAGAGCTATTACCATTATAAGTCAGATTTTCTCATTATAAACAGAGGTTGATCTCTTTAATATAAATTCAAATTCTCATAAGCGTATTTGTAGTATTTCTTCAATTATCTAGCTCATTTCTGTAGTAAAGGTCAATAATACTTATGTTACATGTGAAATATCCTCAACACAACCCGAGATGGCTTCTTTAGCTTTAAAATTCTCATAAGTATATATGTTCGTAGTACTTTGTAAAATCACTAGGTCCTTTCAGTAATAAAGGTTAATACTTAGTTTGATTGTCAAATAATTTCACATTAACATATTTTTTTGTCTGTAGTATTTCTTTTTTTGCTCAATTCAGTAGTAAAAGTTAGTACTTACATATGGATATACACTGTACCTTCTTACAGTTAGAGGTTGTAGTATATGTGTCTGATAAGATCTATCAGCATTTACCTACTTGAAGTTTAGACTTTGCAGCATTCATATTTGAAAAGAAGATCTTTCAAACTTTGGTAGAAGCTATACCATTTAAATCATATGTCTTATAGATAGCATGCTCATTTATTAAAGGAAATCTTCACTTTTCGGTGTCGTCTTTAAAAGTTCATATCAGTACCATTGCAAAACATGTCAATTTCCTTAATTTGGCCAAAGATTACATATAGTTGTTTATAAAATTTATATCTATTCTTATTTTAATGCCTCTTTTTTTTTTTTTTTTTTTTTTTTTTTTTTTTGAAAAATGAAAATGAAATCTTAACTGTGCATTAAATCTGAAATTCTACATATTGTCAAAAAGGTTCATTAAGTCTTTGTGAAGATTTCCTTTCTGCTTTTCATAATTATGATTCATATATTTATACATATATTATATCATGGACATTGTACAGGTGGCGTGTAAACCAGACTCCTTTAAGACCACCCACACTATTACCCACATGTATCAACTCTACATCCATTGTTCTCTGGAAACAAAGCCTATTATCATACACATGATATTGTAATCTTCTCATTTCTCATGTATCACTCTCGAGGTCAATATGCAAATTATCTGTTATCACACTCCCAAGTTCAATATTCAAATGATGTACTGTAAACCAGGAAATTTTCTCCCAGTTGGATTTTCGCCTTTCGATGGTAAAATTCATTTTCGCCCTTCGACGGTAAAAATCCATTTTCGCCCTTCGCCGGTAAAATCAATTTTCGCCCAATATTAAATTCGCTCTTCACATTCAATTTCTAAATTTACTATGTTGTTTACAAATATTCACTGCAATGATGGGTGAAAAGGCAAAAATCAAACTGCTGCGAAAAAGTTCTAAGTATACAGTACTGTTACTCTCAGATCAGTATTAATATGTAAATTTACATCAAAATTTGTTTGAAAATTGTGAGAAAGAAAAAAACAATACATTATATGTTTATCTGTAAGTTTGACATCAGTTTCTCACACCCTATAAGTCACCCAACCACGTCTGGTTTGCAGTGCCCTCTATATATCCGACACAATGTAATCAGATGAGCGTCACATATCATTGCTTTTGGCAGGGGTGTTGCTACACTTCACACTAACTGCCACTACTCCTCCCTGACCACCCTCAATGCTGCCATGCAAGCCAATGAGCATGTGCAGCAACGTCAGAAAGAGGCTTTGACAAACTTCAGCAAGTCCACAGAGTACATTCCAAAAACAGGACGAGAAACACCAACGAGAAAATCGGCAAACTCTGACGATTTTCTGTTCACTTTTCCGGACATCTCACCAATCAATTTAGCAGGGTCATTGGACCATCTGCACTTGCGAGGAGAGGCCTCCAAGATTATTTCAACTGTGACGGAGCATAACTTGCTTCACCAGAGGGAGCTGTCGCGAGTTTCAACAAGCTCAAGTGAGTCTTACCACCTGCGTGAAATGTCACTGTCCACTGATGCTGTTGCCAAGGAACAAAGACGAGAATCACACATTTCCACCAGCTCTAACGAGCAAGGGCCTGCCAGCCCGCCAGTCCATATAGAAAATACCAAACTGATATACGAGACGCAGAGGGGCTGCCTCACCCTACCCCTACAAAAAAAGTCGACACAGTCTAGGTACTACCCCACCCGTCCGCACTCATCCAAACCCTCGCTAACTAACACTGCTTGTCTGCTTCCTCATCCTACGTGCAAGCCTGGTATAATGACCTTCACCTCAATTGTATTCTGTATTATTATTCTTTCTGACCTGTAGTTTTGTTTCAGTTGTTTTTATTTGGAATGATGTTCCTTTTTAGGCAAACTATTCCTATTTTACCGGGAGACTCTCCCACGTTTTACGAGTCCTTGTTTTGTTATTGTTTTAGTTGACGTTTGAAAAACCCTGGTTTCGGGAATGACTTAATACATCCTCTACGTTATTGTGTTTTACAAAAGGTCTTGTCGATCTGTACTTTATCGTTTATGTACATGCATGCCTTATGTTTATTATTTGTGTTCTTCTTATTTTTTGTTTCATCTGACAGCTACAGATGTCCCTGTGCATTTCTAATATCCTGCTGTATCAATATTTTGACATGTACCAATTGTTGTATATAATCATGTCTCAAAATATTATTTATTTTGATTAATTAAATATATATATTCAAAATTTTCATCTAAAAGAAAAATTCTTGCTTGTAATAAAATCAATTAGAGGCTAAAGATCTTCAAGAAATTGCACATGCATTTGGTTTTGCTGCTGGCTAAATCTGCATCTAAGCATAAGGAATGATTTAAACTCATCTGGTCTCTCTCTGCTCAGCAAACTCTTAAAATGGACTTTAAACAGAAATCTAATTCCTTATAGTGAAAAAAAACCAATATTGTAAAATCCTGATGATGGATTCTCTGGAGTTTTTAATAATGTTTCATGTGTTTAAATAACAAATGTTAAATTAAGGATATATGCTACCTTATTGATAAATAACTCCTTTTCAGGAGAATTCCACACTAACAAAGCTTTAAAATAGTTGGTAATGGAGATTTGGACTTTGTTGATTAATAGATGACACTTTCGAAAGTTACATAAAAAAGGGCATTAATAATTCCTCAGTGGTGTTTAATTAATAGATAATGCTATTTAATAGAGAGAATACTTGTGCAAACAATATTTATAATGTAGAAGGTAGCAATTTTCCTTAAGCAAAATATGCAATCTAATAAACAATTATTATTGTATTTTAAAAGGGAAATAACTAGTACAAATCAAATTTATAAAGAATAAGGTAGCATTTATCCTTTAGCAAAATATGTGATTCGATAAATGCTTTTTCTTGTTATTAAAAAGAAGCTTTGCATGATTTACATACCAAAAAGGCTTTTGAATAAAACTTTTTCAAAGTATTGAATATAAATCTTGTTAATCAACAATGCAAATTGTGTACCAAATCAAGAATATTGCTGAGAATCTATCTTTGTCAAGTAGTCAAGATTGCACAGGTGTACTTGTATTGGTGAGCTAATGTCAGGTCCCTGCATACTAGATTAGACTAATGTATAGACTGGAGTGTGCTTGACATCCGCCATACACATTAACTATACAAGCTTACAGACAGTGATTGCTCCTGGTCGATTACATTTGTTAGAGCCAGAATTTACTAATTGTTTGTTCGAAAATTTATTTAGATAATTGTATTATTCCCATTTTAATTTATAAATAACATAGAAGAGAAATTATTTAGGTACTAATAGAAAAGGGGGAAAAAAACCTGTTTGGTGTGGCTATAAATATAACAGTTGTTTGTGCATTAGATAGTTGTGCATTGATTGAAGAATTAAGTTTTGTTTTATAAATCAAATGATAAAGTATCCGAGTCATCGTACAAACAAAAGCTCCATTCATCATGCTTGCTGACACTTTGAGATAAGAAGAGATCTGTGACAGAATTTCAGACATGCTGTTTACTGTTACAGAGGCGACATGCGAGCGTCCCCGCTGAAGGGTCTCAGCCCCCAGTACCGCGAGTTCCGACAGGGTATCTCCAACTTAAGTGCTACCCCCGCAGTGTTGCACCACGCCTTCACAGAACCCATCCTGTCCAAGTCCTCCATAGATGAGGGTTATGGCACGTCACGTCATAGCTCGGACCTGGTGTCAACACGCTCTGACGACATTCGACACGAACGTACAGGGTCCAAGGACAATGGGGATTATGCTCTGATTGGTAAGTTTTTGATTACACCTTGTGAGAGTAGGTGTCCTTTGCACATCTGAATGTTATCCTTTTATCTTTTGCATTCTTTCAAAGACAAAAACACAAAAACTATTTTTTCCTGCCAGTTCTTGTTCATTGGAACTGTCCCTATTTTAAGAACTTAACTGAACTACAGGCATGATCTATATCAGAACCTGTTAAGAAACTTTTTTTTTTTTCCCCATCATAAGCTGGTTGTATCTTCAGTCTAGTGCTACCTCAACAAATTATTTTAGTGCTCACTAATTTTCATTCTGATTTCACACCTGACCTCAAATATTGTTTCTCGTACACATTACATTGAATCTTAAGAGTATTTTTATGATATTCTTTTGTCTCAGTGTGAATAGCAAATAGCTTTTAGTTTAAGCTGTCAGTCTAATGGCCAAAGAGCTATATATCTTAAAACCAGTTTGAGTGACATAATATGTTCTAATATTACAAAAACTTAGTTTGCTTAAGTCTGAGCTCAAAACTCCATGTATCATGTACTGAACATTTGATAACAATTGAGACCCAAGTTCAAACTAGGCTTGCAGATAAAGGCCGGAGAGGAGTTTAGTATCGTACATCAATTTTACTGTGTTGGCTATACACATTTCTACCAAATCTTTTAAGGTTGTAAGAGTTGTCTCCCCTATTTGCTATTTGACAGGGTATTTTTACAGGAGAGCCACGATGTGTTAGTTTTATTTCAATTATGGCTTCTTATATACATTAACAGGTAAAAAGTTCATTTTGTAATACTTACTTTGATTTCTAACTGACACATCTGAATGCTTCAGGGTAAATATTTTTTGTTCACAGTCCAATATTATAAACTAGACAAATAATATGGTTTATAAGTTTCCCGGTAAATATTAAATTGTATTTCATCATTTATTAACCAAATTGACTATGGTATAATTGACTGTTACCATCAATGGAAAATCTATATAAAAATGAAAAGTGACCAATTTAGATTGATTTCATTTAATCCGTTTTGGTATGGTATTTGTGTTCTGTGTTGGTACATTGTATTGTATTGTAACATTTATTTGAGGTATTGCTGTATCCAGTACAGGTGTACAGTATAACATGGGTAGGATATCAGTGTAGGCATTGGCATATAGCTATATTGGTATCACAGACCAGTATTTTGTATATACTTAATCAGATAATAAATGATCTGTAGTTGATAAGCGACCACATGCTATTCAGTTTGTCATAATAACTGTCTAGCTTGGCTCCATGTAGCCAATAGACCATGTAAATCTGCTTTCTTTCAGGTCTAACATTTAAAAAAAGATTTAGTTGATAGGGTTGGATTTATTTATCTTAAACTCCAATATTATTAATGTATAGATAATATTTATTGAAATGTTGTTGCTAGAAAAGTCCGAGAGTAAGATGTGAAGTTGACAATGCTCAGATGAGTTCTATGATGTGTCCAATACACCAAGTTTATCGCTGATATTGTATGTCATCTGTAAAGCTAACCATGCTTTGATTAGTATAGAATATTTCTTTCTGTTAAAGTAAGAATGCTCAAAATAGTACTGTAGATATTTGCAGTACACTAAAAATATATATCTAATGTTTCATGTAATTAAAAAAATCAGTGAGCAGACTTTTATCAGTAGCCGTATCATGTTCAGTATACCCAATATGTATAAATATACATTTCATGTTTCAAGGTCGATTGACTTCTTTGGTCGTCATTGTAATGGTATATATATATATATATGTCTGGAAGAACATTAGCGTCAATGTCAGGTTTGGACATCTGTTATGGTGTGTGTATACCATAAACATCAATGTCCGTGACTGTTAGGGAACACCAGTCAAATATAGGTATTGTATTCCGTGTCCTTCTAACTGTGTATGTTCCCCTCGGGCCTAGCCTATAGTCACAGCACTGTTACTTCTGTACAATTCCTTGAAGACTGTCAGGTATTTTTCTGCAGCATTATCACATTTGGCTGCTATGGGTATAGGAACCAATTGTGGTCTTTGGTGATTTGATGGCTTTCCATGGAAGAATTGGTGTTAGCATGACAGTTTTTCATGGAAAAATGTTATTCCGGAGATTTGTTTGATAATGTAAGGTACATGTACACCATGGAGAGGTCATGTGACTTCTTAGTTTTCTACTTGATCATTTTCCGACCAATGCAGAAAACTTGATCATTTTCCGACCATTGCAAGTATGCTCGTATGTTGCACATAAATGTAAGATGTCATTTGTAAAATCTTATATGTCATAACTTGATTGCAAACAGAAAAACTTTTTTTTTAAGAAGTCACAAATGTAAAAATGTTGATGCCACTAGTATTTTCGTTTTCATCATGAATGCAAGATTTTATCTGTTCTGCATGGTTGTAATATCACAATAGTATTTGAACTACATTCAGGTCATTGACTTTCCACTAAGCTATTGTACTGCTTAAGGCCAGTCCTTTCAATACAGTTATTGACAGCTTCACAAGGTTTATGAGAAACGTGTTTGTTAAAAGTACAGTGAAAGGCATCATCATAAAACATAATGGGTCATTACTTTCGTTACTGAACCTTTACAGTCAATAAAGACATGTGACCTTGACCTCTTGTCATGCCAATCTTTTGTTAAAAAATATATGTCAATATTGTCTTTATTTTTCCTCCAATGAGCGATACAGGTCCAGTGTACCTCTTGTTCTGGTATTTTAGTACATTTTCTAACAAAGTTTAAGGTCTCCTGATGTGGATAGGTGTTTAACAAATTGTGACCGGACCACACAAGTCATTTGAAACATTATAGGTATAAACACTCCCCTGCCAAAAAGGTTGCGTTTAAATTACCCCAGGAGTGATGCCAAGTCTGAAATAAACTTAACACTTTTGACACTACAAACTTTTTATCAAACAACAAAAAAGTTTGATCAGGTTCCAAAAATTCCAGATAAAAGTCGAGTGACGATTGTTTAATGGGGTCATTTAAAACTAATCCTTACGGATTTGAGATTACTGTATTACATCAAAAATGTATCCTGTCCAAGATCTGGTCACTTACTGTGAACAAGAACACAGGTGTTCATTGTTCCTGCGAAACAAAGATATAGAAAATGTGTTCGCTACTATGTTTGGATGTTTACATGTGTACAACTGTTTTAACTGGCAGGCGTTTACGTGGAGCTCGACAGACTCGGGTTTTTCTCAGGTAAACATTTGGTGACAGTTGTGCTTGTTGGTTTATCGAAGTATTATATATATATACCTGTATGACTTGATTGCATTACATTAAGTGGCTGTTGACAAAAACTGAATGTATATTGGATTGTACTGGCTATTGGCAGTATGTAGCCCTAAACTGGTGTCTCTGGGTTCTACCTGTAAGTTTCTCACCTAGCCTAATTATTACCTGTATTATTGACGAGGGCTAACATCACTGATATTCTACAGGTAAGGTGCTCGCTTGAGGTCAAGGCTAATTAATAATACCTTCTTTAAATTCAACCCTGTTTAACCTAAATGGTTGAAATGGAATAATATTTTCTTCGTCTGGGAACTTTCTGACAGGGTGAAGGTGTGGACTCTCATAAAACCAAGGAGATTTTTAATGTCTTGGTGCATATTATAAGGTACTCCTGGTACCTTAACCACTGTATTCCTGGTATTTCTCTAACTAGACTAGCTAACATGGTGTTGGTTCTTGTAGTATCCTCTGGTATCCAGCAGATTCTTCCCTATTATTGAGTTATCTTCCAAGTTTATCTCATTCGCCCCTAAAGTCACATTTGATCTTGCCAAATCAATGACTGGGTAAGTCCAGTTTAGATATGTAGGTATATATATATCATCCAACATATTTTTTAGCTGTGGATTTCTGATGGATGTTTATTCAGCTGTTATTTATGAATTTGAAATTTGTACATGTATATAATTTGTAATTTCCCAAATTTTTGCTTTCGCAATGCAAAACGTGTAACCACACATTTATTCATAGCTCAGTAGCCGTGTGAGGCCTTGAGTTTTTGTTGGCCCGGCATATCACCCTCTTCCCAAATCTGCCGGTGTATGGTATGAATCATAATGATACTAGGAGCATTGGTTTAGACTAAGGAGATAAGGATGAGATTGATAAACATGTGCCCCTATGATGTTTATCAATCATGAGACCGCTGTTTTGAGGGGTTGAAGAGAGAGAAGGGGGGGGGGGGGGGGGCACCAGGATATAATATGTATCATGGTCTCGCCCTATCCCTTAAAATCAATAGCAAGTACAAATATATATGTTAATTAAACTTTATCATGCTTTTAATTTAAATGTCGTTTAGAATTATTAAATGATTTACTGTTGGGGAAAAAAAACCAAGAAAATGTTAATTGCAGAATACTACTAAAATCAATAAGACTACCAGTGTTTTAAAATCTGTTTACAAGAGTTAGTCATATAGCCTATAGATCATATTGATACATCCATATCCTGGGGTCATATATATACCTAAACTCTAAACTCTGGGGTAATGTACAGGTCGTCCTATCTCAATACCCAACAGGATATCCTCAGGTTTTCCGTCCTGAACATTTAAAATGAGGTAGGCCTTACCATGTCAGAGAGTTTGCCAATCCCTGGTCCCTTTTAACTCATTCCCCCCCTGAAATTTCAAAATGAACTACTCCAACCTTTGAATTGGAAGAATTCAAATGTGTCTTCAGGGGTGAATGAGTTGAGTGATTAACAGGAGGGGGTAGGGGGTCCTGACAGTAGAGGAAGGAAGTAGCAGGGAGCCTTGGGGATCCTGTACAGATTGGGGGGAGGGAAGCACTTATCAACATACTGCATGTAGATCATTATAGAGGTAGACTGGGGTGCTCATAAATCTGACACATACATCGACCACTTACAACTCCTTAATGTACAACTGTTTTCGTACACACATCTGATGCCACAGAGAGCTACAAAATTTCCAGGATTCAACTCAGACCACAGGTTCGGGGTTCTACCACTGGTTTCGGGTTCTACCGCTGGTTTGGAATAATTAATGTACACATCTAGGAATTATTTATGATTTGATACTTCGTTATATATAAATCATATCTAAAGTTGTTGTTTTTTGATGCAGTGTAAACTGTTGTAAGTATTTAACCACCCTTACAGCTTTGTACTGTGAATCATAAGCGTAAGCTGTAAGGGGTCCATAAAGAGGGGAGACGGAGGAAGGGGTTTTACAACGAGGGATCGACTTCTTTGTTGACATTTCTGAACTTCCTTTGTTTGTTTACAAATTGTGGATCTTTGTTTTACAGGTGCTAGTGCAAAACAGTGGAGTTCTTCAACAAGGCAAAACCAGGTCAGTCTGAAAATGAGAGGCAATACTTACTTCTGGACCCCAGTGCCAGTTACAAATACAAAAAATTACATAGTAGGGATTGATTTAAAATGATCATCCATAAGCAAAAAATTCAATATTATTATTATAAATTCAGTTTTGTCTAAACATTTATTTTTTTGGAAAATTTGGATAAATAATTTGTTAAGCTGATCAGCTTTTGGACAACAGGGCCCAGGTCAATTCTTTTCTTTATTTATTTCTATGAAGATGTTTTCCTGTAGTATATTCCTTGTATGTAGTTGTGTAACATTATGTAGCTGTAATCCCCTACCGTATATCTATATACAGTGGAACTGGACCAGAAGTCAATCTTTAGCGTGGTGTATCTACAAAATACTAATGTTGGAATTGTGTCACCATTGTAAAGTTGTATTTGACAGGTTAACAATGTAGCATATATGTTGTCCCTGAGAAATGTATGAGACAAAAGGCCAAGTGTTTGATATAGAGGTATATGGTACCCGATATTTTACAGATGTTTGCTTTGTCACATACAGGGTTTGTCCCGGAGATGGAATGAATCAAACTCCAGTGGAGACTCGAGCAATTACGGGGGCAGTTACATACACTTATCGGACAGTTCTCCCAGTGTGACCCCAGGACTTAACTCATCACAAGGTCAAGGGCAGAGCAACGCCACCTATCAGCAGCCAAGAAAGACTTCAGCACCATCCGACATTGATACTGCTGTAGCAGCGGTAAAACATGGCAACATTTCTCTGGAGCTGCTGAAACAATCACAGAACACTAAGTATTTGTTAAGTCAGGGTCCGGGAGGGGTCAGTCAGCCTGACCGCAGTACTGCTAATTCTCAGAGCTCCAGTGTTAACCTCAGTGACACGTCCTTCTCGAGTGGGTCAAGCCACAACTCCGCCAACGCCCTACTTAACAACCGAGGTCAAGGTCAAGTTTCAACTGACCATACGGCTGCAGGGTATAGCAAGGTGTCATTGGAGGACACGAGCAGGAAAAGGGCAGATTCTGCCTCTACCAATAATAAAGGCCGGCCGGCAGGGCTGTTACAGGGTCGTCATCATTCACCCCTCAGTAGTGAGAACAGTAGTCCCAGATCATCTCGCAGGTAAGTAGAGATCCCCTTACCCCTTATTAACAAGAACAGTAGTATTTCCTTGTTCCAGTTATAAATCGGTAAAGAAATCTCATTTTGTCAATGACATGGAAAAAGATTGAAGAGACTTTTAGCCGAATGCTGTTTTCAATGTTTACATTTAACTTGTTGATCGTTTGACATGATTCAAGTGAGTTACAAGAAAGTTGGTCTGAGCGCAGAATCCATGTTTGAGCATGAGAATGGTTACATGAATATGGGATTTGATCAGGATACAAGTACAGATTGTCTCCACTTTCATTAGGAATTACAACATCACAATGAACACCAAAAATTTGATTATTTTAACAGTTTTAGCACTTTTTTTTAGTAAAATATTTTAGAATTGTTTACAATTACCAAGGAAATCTGAAATTTAACTTTTCATACGTTTATTTCTATCACAGAAATCTCTCAGGAATGTCTTCAGAAGAATCTCTAAACACGCGTCTACGACCAGGTGTAACAACCAAAATGATACGAACACAGGCTACCAACAACCTGGAGGAGGAGCTCATGAGACTTATTGACCCAGACATCACAAACACAGAGCTACGAGGCGTCATGGTGAGTTTTGTCTGTCTTCTGTGGATCGCACATCTACCAAAACAAAAACCCAAGTACAATGTTTTCCCAGTTAAAATTGTGGTCAAGGGGTACAGATGTGTGTAAAATTCACCAGTATCACCAACACATGATAAAAGTTTAAGGTTCTTAAGATATCCTTGTGGTATTTAGTGATATTTATAGATTTGACTTTAGCAAAAGCTTTTGTTATGGTCATTACACAGATATGTTTTTACTATATATAGCTTTTAATTATTTTCTTTTACAGTTGAATGCGGGTGTGAAGCCGAAGACTGCCAAGCTGAAGCGAACCATGTCAGAGGAGAGCTTGCACAGTGTCAAGGGGGCGACCCTGTCTAGTTCCCTAGACAACAACCTGGCCGACGTCATCTTCTCTTCCACCACACCCTCCTACAAACAGGACAAGGCTCGCAGGTAACATGTCTGTTATAAGTACCACAACTTACGTCTCATTCAACCCTGAAATTTCATAATGAACTATACCAACCTTTGAATTGGAAGAGTTCAAATGTGTCTTTAGGGGTGAATGAATTAACCTATAACTACTTCATAAACTTCAAGGAGGTAAAGCTGTAACAGAAAATATAATGATCACAGAACCAAAAATATCCTATGCAATAGACAAGATATATTAAACAGGTTCAAACAACAGAAAAACATGTGCATTGGGAGGTAGGTGAATGTCCGATTTATACAGGCATCAGATAAGACAGATTACAGTTTTGACGAAAAATCTGTATGATTTGATAGGTAGGCAGGAATTGGAATAATAAATCCATGTGGTTTCAAAAGATGTCTTTTTAGAAAATTCTGATCATCTGCATCTTTTATCAACTGCATAGGACCTTAAACCCAAAATACACCAATGTTTTTTGCCAACATAACATTTTGTCACCTTACACAACCACTTTGTCCCTGTACACCACCACTCTGTCACTGTACACCACCACTTTGTCACCTACCACAACCACTTTGTCACCTTACACCACCACTTTGTCACCTTACACCACCACTTTGTCACTGTACACCACCACTTTGTCACTGTACACCACCACTTTGTCACCTACCACAACCACTTTGTCACCTTACACAACAACTTTGTCACTGTACACCACCAGTTTGTCACTACACAACCACTATGTCACTGTACACAACCACTTTGTCACTGTACACCACTACTTTGTCACCTTACACAATCACTTTGTCACCTTACACAACCACTTTGTCACTGTACACCACCACTATGTCACTGTACACAACCACTATGTCACTGTACACAACCACTTTGTCACTGTACACCACCACTTTGTCACCTTACACCACCACTTTGTCACCTTACACCACCTTTTTGTCACCTTACACAACCACTTTGTCACTGTACACAACCACTATGTCACTGTACACCACCACTTTGTCACCTTACACAACCACTTTGTCACTCTACACAACTTCTATGTCACTGTACACCACCACTTTGTCACCTTACACCACCACTTTTTCACCTTACACAACCACTTTGTCACTGTACACCACCACTTTGTCACCTTACACCACCACTTTGTCACTGTACACAACCACTTTGTCACTGTACACAACCACTTTGTCACTGTACACCACCACTATGTCACTGTACACAACCACTATGTCACTGTACACAACCACTTTGTCACTGTACACCACCACTTTGTCACCTTTCACCACCACTTTGTCACCTTACACCACCTTTTTGTCACCTTACACAACCACTTTGTCACTGTACACAACCACTATGTCACTGTACACCACCACTTTGTCACCGTACACCACCACTTTGTCACCTTACACCACCACTTTGTCACCTTACACCACCACTTTGTCACCTTACACCACCACTTTGTCACCTTACACCACCACTTTGTCACCTTACACCACCACTTTGTCACCTTACACCACCACTTTGTCACCTTACACCACCACTTTGTCACCTTACACCACCACTTTGTCACCTTACACCACCACTTTGTCACCTTACACCACCACTTTGTCACCTTACACCACCACTTTGTCACCTTACACCACCACTTTGTCACTGTAAACCACCACTTTGTCACTGTACACAACCACTTTGTCACTGTACACCACCACTTTACTTGTTGTATGCCGTCTTCGTCAGGTTGAAGCTGAATGTTTATGATTTAGTTAAGTGCTTTGTCTGTACAGGTTGTCACCAGGCTCAAGCTCCACGCTAGACAGTCTGACCAAGACTGCGGTCAAACCTGGACCTAATGTCCCCCTGCCAGATTCCACTGCCGGTCTGGAGTGGTCAAGCCTGGTCAATGTGGCCACTAAAGCCATAGAAGGAACAGGTCAGTAAGAGCTAGATGTCCATTAATATAACATCCAGTGGAAATTTGTTAAACAGGAATAATCAATTTCCAAACATCTGATATTCAGAAACTGATAGTTTTAAGTTAAGGATTTACCGGGCCCTTAAAATTGCATTCAGCTATTTTCTTATCATACTAATGTACTATTGTGTGTAATAAATTTGTGATTAGTTTTGATTTTGTTCTTTTGTAACTGGGACCTTCAATATTGATATGATAGGGTTTCGGGGAACATCATTACAGTCCTCCTTTCCAGGTTTTTAGGTAAAACTTAACTGAACACTTTGATTGATCTGGAAAATTCAGTATAGAGACTTGTTTTGGAAACCAGATTGTCTTTACTGATTAAGTTCGCCAAGGCTCACAAAAATAAAAACTCCTAAGACTCGTTTCATAAAATCTCATATGAAATAAAAACCCATTTAAGATCCTATATATCTTAAAAAATCAATAACTTCAACCTGTGATTGTAAATGTTTTTTGTAAGCATTGAAAAAATAATTGCACCGGCATCCTTAATCAAAGGAAAATCTCCAGGTCTGTTGTTAACCAATTTTAACACATAGTGACATGTCAGCAAGATATTGTCTGCAGCAACATAGCGGATACGGTGCAGGGATGAAATAGCAAGATCATTATCTGGAGTAGAAAATCTAATTTCGCAGTGTAATTTCGTTTATAAGTGAACAATTTGCTTCCAGCCACATCAGAAAAAACGAGAAAGGATATTAAATAGAAACCATTAATAGTGATTAGCACTGAAGTAAATGTCGGGGCCGGTTTTATGTGGTATTGATCAGGTTTAGGTTTTAAAGTCAATACCAAGGTATGTTCTGTGGTGGCATCAGACAGCAAGACTGAGTGCTCGGTTCAAAAGAGGATGACCCGCAAAACTGGTTATTTCTCAAAACACCGGCAAAACTTTTAAAAAAATCATGTTTTTGCAAGAATAAAAACCTTCACTTGTTGAAATTTTATATAATTTCAAGATGTCTTGGATAAAATACATTGTAGAAGCCACATTACTCCATACAGCCTGTGTTTTGGGGCACAGGTTGGCCTTTTTTCTCTGTTCGAAATTGTCCATTTAATCCCGCTAGCAACGGTTCCTAGGTTATGGAGGCACCACCGTATATAAATCTAGGGACATACCTGTAATGCTGTCAGAGCTGGTCTGTTAATTTTTAATTTGGATTCAGTTGCTGATGGTTTCTAGATAGTGTCTTGCTAAATTTACCCTAAACATGTAATGGGATGAGTTCAAAACCTCACATTACATACATTAGTCTGAATTAAAAATAATTTACACTCTTGTCTGTCCAGTGTGTATCCCACTACCGCTATTCTATAGAATGGCTTTAAAAGAAGTACAACATATTTATTTATGTATTTCAGAAATATTGATTTAGATAAACATGCAAGATCATTCTTTATTTAGGAAATGGGTAAATACATTCTATAGAATGACTTTAAAAAAAGTACACCATATTTATTTATGTATTTCAGAAATATTGATTTAGAAATACATGCAAGATCATTCTTTATGTAGGAAATGGGTTAATACATTCTATAGAATGACTTTAAAAAAAGTACACCATATTTATTTATGTATTTCAGAAATATTGATTTAGAAATACATGCATGATCATTCTTTATTTAGGAAATGGGTAAATACAGCTTCGTTTCCATTAATCTGTCATTGAAGTAAAATTCAGAAGTATCTTGGAAAATGTGTTATGAGGCCGTCCTAGTAGAATACCAAGGCTGTTTGGGTGATGGGCTGTTTACTGTCTATTAAAACACTAGCTACAATAGAAAATCAATACACCGTCTGCAGGGGGTGTCTCTGTCTCACCTGTCAGCTGGTCGTCACGGCTGATTGGGACCAGGTAATCCAGGCACAGATCGGTGGGTTAGGGAGTTAGCATCAGTCCCCAGGGAGCTGTAGATTCAGGATAAGATAGATAGTGGTTGGGAGACATGAACAGACAAGGTAAGGAAGCACAGGTATACCGTAATGGTTTTATATCGTCTGGCCTGTAATATCGTTGGCCTGCATTCTATAAAATACTTGACTCCATGTATTCTGTACTTTGTTTGAATGAAGGTCTTACTGGTATTTCTAGTGTATATAATTTGCAGTCAAGTATGTTATTGATGAATAAAGTTTTGTAAAATATGAATGCGATTTTGCATAATGCTCTTCATTGATATTCAGTTTAGCTGTGTGATCTGGTGATCAGCCATGCATGTTGCATAATGAACAATGGCACGGATAGGGAGTTTGGGGTTCCAAGGGTTTTCTTTATTCATCCCAACACTTACACTGACTACTTTAAAAGTGTTGTTTATAATCACAGTAATTAGCCATTATAATTAAAACCCACTGACCTTAATTGGAAACCACCCTCAGTTCAATCAGGATCAAACAGGCATCCTCAAGTTCACATTTGTAGCCTTGTCACTTCTGTGTGATTACTATATGTCGTAGGTATAGGCTCAAAAAGGAAGGGTGTGTGTGATAACAGATATTACTGTCACAGGCACAGAAGGAAAGGGCATGAATGATTGAAATATCATACTATTGTAGGCACAGAAGGAAAGGGCATGAATGATTGAAATATCATACTATTGTAGGCACGGAAGGGAAAGGTTTGTGTGATTGTAATATTTTACATTTTTATTGTAGGAACAGAAGGGAAAGGTGTGTGAGATTGTAATATTTTACATTTTTTTGTAGGAACAGAAGGGAAAGGTGTGAAAGCCAAGGTGTCACCTACTGTCGATGTTAAGGAGGAAAAGACGACAAAGGACCCAGTAAAGAAATCCGTCCTCGCTTCCACCAACTGTCCTACCAACTACAGCACCAAGTAAGTACAAATACTCCAGACCCAATCCTATCAGGTAACATTGACTCTGGGGACAAGTCTCAAATCTTTGTATTTCAAGGTTTTCACATGCTTTGCTTTAAGTGTTATTATTTGCTAATTATCCCTTCTCATGTTAATCTTTGTCGCTAGTCAAAGAAATTCCAGTGAAAAATGGATAAATAGGAAATCAAAGTCCTGTCTAATTGAATGTTCAGTGATATGTGTGCTATGAAAAATGAAAAACCTAATTGTCACTTGTGCATTGTAGCACCCCAGTATGGAGACCTGTGGTTGCCAACCCTCAGCAGAGAATAACCGAGCTAGAGGGGAAGGTGGCACAGCTAGAACAGGACCTCAATAAGGTGAGCGTGACCATCATAAAGATAAAAGTTTACAACTGTTATACCCATTCACCCCTGAAATTTCATAATGAACTATTCCAACCTTCGAATTGGAAGGGTTCAAGTGTGTTTTCAGGGGTCAATGAGTTAAGAAGATTCTAATGAGTTTTGTGCACTGTTGCCACCGTGTACAACAGATAGTACAAAATGTTTACTCATCTCAATGAAAGTTGCTTGACCTTGACCTTCTATATTATGCATGTATATGAACAAGGCATTACAAACATTTACTGAATGGGTTTTTATCAGAAACATTTTTAGGTCAGACTTTTGCCGAAATAACAATTGTTTTGTCACAGTTTCATTAAACATGTCTGACTTACAAGTCACATTTAGGCGTTTTGCTTTTCCACTTTTATTTGCTGATTGGCAACTCTACAAACTGTGATAATGAGGATCTCACTCATAAAGTCAAATTAACACATTGAAAGTCACTTCTGACACCAAAGCTAGTCTGATAAACAAATGTCAAGAATTTCATCTTTGCGACATATTAGACTGATGCATACTACTTTCGAAGCACATTAAAACATTTGAAAAGTTGAAGTATGACTTGGTTAACTCATTCACCCCTTAAGACACGTTTTAACTCTTCCAATTCAATAGTTATAATAGTTCATTATGAAATTTCAGGGGTGAATGAGTTAACGGCTTAATATGTTTCATTGCCAAAAACCCAGTGTGGCTAAAAATAACTCCTATAAATAGAAATTTTGATGGTATGGATTGGTTGGGTTTCAGGAGAGACAGGAAAATGCAGCATTGGAAGCCGAGGTACAGGAATTGAAACATGAAAACGTCCGTCTACAGGAGGAGTCGCAGACCGCTGCCGCTCAGCTACGCAAGTTTACCGAGTGGTTCTTCAACACAATAGACAGGCAGAATCCCTGAGGGTAGAGCTTGGAGGGACAGACCAAATATTGAGACACTGATGAACTTGGCACTAAAGAAAAAACGGACAGAGTTTCAGCTTGTATGCGATAATGACTGAATCAGATCTGTTGTAATTGAAGGAGGAAGAATCTTTCGATTCGGCAGAAGCAACTTATAGTGGTCGAAGGTAGTTCATCAGGATGGATTAGTCAGTTATATTTCAGTTCTTGAATACCTCTGCATCTGGTAAACAGGTTTTCACAGATCATCAGAGTGAATGTAAACGAGATTCAACTGTACTGTGAATTCTCTGCTTTACGAAAACATGTTCATCACAGGTTAACAATGTCATCTTTCAAAATGACAAGGACCTCCTAAATGATTCTCGACTTCCCAAGATAAGACAGAGTCAGTGTTAAAGGATACCTATCTGTGTCGGTAGATAACAGGTACCAATTTTGACAGAGTCATTGTTTATTTAATTATTGATTCCAACATCCTTGTGGTAATATATTGGTAAAATGGCAGCTGTATTAGAGGGGTATCAAGTCAGGTGAAATAAAGATTTGCTTTGTAGTTTGGTGTAAGGGAGGTAACTCTGTAGAGATGTAGCTACAACTACAACCCCACAGATAAATGCTTCTTAAGTTGACAACTTTCATTTTATGAAAAATATCAATAACATTGTAATGCAGATACCAAAAGTTACTTAGTATTTGCAAATACCTATATTTTCATGGCTGTATTTTCGAAAGGTTTAATCACAAGAATTATTTTTCGGGAAAGGAACGGCAATAACTATCAGTTTCTGGTGATATACTTGGATTATTATTGACCCTAGATCTCTTTGTGAAATAATGTGAAAAGGTTTACAGCAAAGTATCTGTGATTCGTCTATGTCTACATTTAAGGTATTTTATCTTTGTTATGCCCCCCCCCCCCCTCTCCAATCATTTTAAGGGGGGGGCATATAGTGTCACCCATGTCTATCCCGTCACAGATTAGGTCAAACTTTATAATAAGGGTTGGGTTCCAGTATAACAGAAATGAGGTCCCAAGGTCAAGGCTAAGGTCACTGTAACTATTGTTACTATTTTGAAGTATTATTCAAACGGTGACACTTATTTGCTTTGGAGCATGCATGGGCATTCCTGTAGTTATGTAGTTTTTTGAAAATAATTTGGAAGATTCATCTCCCAGAAAATTCCACTGCCATTTTTTTGTTAAGACAATGAACAAAATGGTGCCACAAAATCTATTTCATCTGAAAAACTTGTCATAAAATAAGTCTGTAGAAATAAACATTCAGTATTCAGCAATTTTCATTCCATATGCGTTTTGTTCATAATGATGCTTTTATTGGCATCAGGAAAATTGGATGAAAAGAGGTATAAGGAGGCTTGAAATGTAGATTTACTCATTCACCCCTGAAGGCACATTTGAACTCCTCCAATTCGAAGATTAGAATAGTTCATTATGAAATTTCAGGGATGAATGAGTTAAATAGGGACAAAATGGAAGTTCTTCTGTTGCTGTATTACCAGTATATTATTTCAGTGATGGGAATATGTTCATGGAGTATAAGGAAAAAACAAGAAACCATGAGATTTCACCGAAATAATGCTTAAACAAAAGTTTGAAACTGATCTGGGAAATATGACAAGTTCTTCTGGGTCAAGTTTAAGTTTGAATATAAAAACATTGAAAATTGTTGAAAGAAATAATTGAAATATATTATTGGTCACAGGTAGTTTTATAATCGTGTGACAGTTACTCTTTTAACAATCATTTTGTACCTCACGTTGAGTGACCATTTTTAACAGCGTCTACAACCATGTCAAATGTATATGCCAATTATTGACAATAATATTATCCATGTTTATTGTTGTTGTTATTGTCGTTGATGGTACATGTACTTAAAAACCATAACAACAAGTACTTACCAGGTAAGCCCTAAAAACCATGCCAATATGTGTATCAATACTATATACAACATAAGATCCCGTAATAAATGAATATGTGTTAAACATGCTAAATGATATTTGTTTTGAGACTTCACAGAAGCAACCATGTGCATCTACGGATGATGGAACGTCAACAAGAAAGATAGCCTTTTAAGGCTTGAAGGAAAGTTGAGGAACAAAGTATTTATTTTAATGTCAAAACTTAATAATGTGCCACTCAACTTTGTTATACATTTTTTAACCAAATTTTCATTCATATATCAAAAAAAAAATATATGTTAGAAAAATAAACATCGGTACACTCTGATAACAGATTGATTGAGTAAATATTTTCTGAATGGTATGAAGAATTTATCAATACAATGTTATAACTCATTCACCCCTGAAATTTCATAATAAACTATTCCAATCTTTGAATAAGGGGAGTTCAAATGTGTCTTCAGGGGTGAATGAGTTAGACAAAATTTGTTATTAAATGAGATATAATTATTGGTACAACTAAAAGAGATGAATACATGAGATGTAATAATTGGTACAACTAAAAGTCTCTAGACATATTACGTGCAAATAGAGTGTGTTTGAGAATTTGTGGCACAATCAATGATACATTACCCAATATATACACATTTTCAATGTTTAGAGATCTGCATATGAAAGAGAGAACCTAGCAAAAAACAAGATCGTAATAAAACAAATGTGTTATAATAAATGTATTTTTTCAATATGCTAGAAAATAAGTATTTCTGTTTGTGCAATGTTAATTATAATTTATATAGTCCCATACTATTGATAATAAACATGTATGTAAGCAGCTGTCGTATCATTGACCATCTCATGTTATACACAGCTAACATTTCATTATCATGGAGTTTATCATATGCTGCAAGACCATCAATTTGATTATTTAACCATGACCTTTTATGATGACAAACGAGTGCTGTAATATTTTGGTGGTCCGTGTTGACCAATTTAGTTAATGACATTGGTACATTTTCCTCATCAACATTTCAAATTTGATAATTGAACTCTTAAGACAATACTTAATATAAATAGATTACAAGCTGAATTACAGCACTAGACAAGTCCTATGCCTGTTTGTGTTTATTTTATTTTACTTTCTCAATAAGAGAGTTGTACAAAACATATGTGTATATATATATTATATGTATATATACCCACCCCATCACTTAAAGTTGGTTATAATCATTCATTACCGCAAGACCATACAGACCGCATACTTAGTATGTTTGGTAATGTTGGAATGCATCTTTTGTCATTTAACTTGTAAATAATCCTACATTATCATGATGACGATATTTTATGTTTTGTAAATTATAAAACTTTTTAAAAATACTCAATATAATTATTCTTCAGATTATAAACAATTTTATCAAATGAGGAGGAAAAGTATTTTTTTTCACTGGATGCGACATGAATGAGAAAATCCAATTTATTATTATATATCTCATTCCATTGGTCTTGGTTTCTTGCAATTCTCAAGCTAAGAGATTGATTGAAGGGTGACATTTCTTACTGATATAAGTTAATGTTATCTGCTTATACGTGTATACAATTATGTATATTTCGTAGAAAGTGCATAAAAAATGTGTGGGGTTGCCCTTATTAGGGCAGGGGCAGGCATCCTTAGTCAAAAGCGATGTATGGTATACATGGTGCTTGCATTGGGTACAGTGGGACTCTTTGCCCTGCATGTACTCATAATCCTTTAAAATTATCACAATCTTTTACCTGTATGGTTAGGAACAGAATTAATCTCTATTGAAACTTTGCATAAGTAAAGTGTCTGGATTCAGAAGGTTCCACTATACTGTATATCCTTATTCCAATATCTTTTGAGATCGCTACATCCTGTATAGCACAACCTGTTATAGAGTTATGTAGATAGCATTATATGTTACAAGGCCAAGCCTGAATTACCCAGCATGCAGCATTTATTCTTTTCCATTCTAGTACTTATTAGTACATGCGTACATGTTTATACATATCTCTTTTTCTCTGACCTCATTGACAATGTATGTGTACATAAATGTTTTTAGGGCTAACCAATGATGAGTTATAAATCTCGAAACTTGCATTTGAACATAGCATTAACTTATTGTAAAAGACAATATAAACATTCTCATTTACCAATTTATTTATTGTACAGAAAAAAATTGTATCATTTTCCATTTTCATTTTCTTGTACAAAGCGTATGAATGAACGTATAGTCCTATATATGATATAGACGCATATGAAAGTAAGTGATGAATAAATAAACATCAAGAAATAATTACATGTGTATGTTATTTTTCTGCATCAACTCAATGGTTTGACATGTTGGAAACTAATGTGACCTTGCTAAAAAGTCATTTTACTGTTGACATCGGAGCATAATACACAAAACGGAAGCAAAGACTGACATAAATTATCATCAGTTATAATCAATATTGGGCAAGATCTTGTCTGTGGGCAGTCGTACCTATTCCAACTTAAAGGAGAAATACCTGTAAAAGTTGCTTTGGAGATGTTATGTATTGAAAGAAAGACGGAACAAGGATAAAAGGAGAACTGACAAATTTTTTTCAGGTGAATATTATAGAGACCTAATTACAATGAATGCATACTTTTCGTTTGAATTGTACGAGTTGTGAAGGTGTGTAAATCAATGAGGTACTTCGCTCGGAGTGCAGATACCGAGGGAAATGCAGGGTGATTGATATTGAATATGTCATTGTAAGGAGATCTAGAGGTTAACCTATCAAATTACAACAAAGATCATCCATCAGCAGATTTAGCATTATTGGCAGATTAGTTTCAACACTTTCTAAAAGTCTTTGCTAAAGAATCAAAACTGTTGGCAGTTTAAAAATAAAAATCACTCAAACTGGTGACACCCGAGACTGCCTTATAAGCTGAAACTAGTTGGCCAATAAAAAACTACTCAAACTGACCTGTGTTTCGATTAGAACCCCTCTACTTATATATGTTGTCAAATCTATGCAACAACTGAATGATCACTATATATATATGGATGCCTGCAAATCCAGATCATGAAATGTATTTGAAAAATAGATTTATGAACTTCTTATTTAACATACCAAGGTATGTATTAACCTAGTAATATTGCACTCTACACATTGATAAATTGCTTACCAGGTATAAAACACTTCAGGCAATGTTATCCAATAGGAAAAGCTAGTATTATGCCAACTTATATCAATCTACTATATATTTCCATCGGTCCTTTTCAACTGTATTGCAAAAAACAATGGGTCCCATAATATTAAATTCATTCTACGAGTCCCATGAAAATTCTTGAGTATATAGGGTTTGAGACTTGTATGTAGATTTATCACTGCATCAACATATATAGCATGGTGTGGTGTTCATTCACCAATTCTCGTCCTGTCGGCTTAAAATCCCATCTAGTTCAGAGAAACACAAACTGAAGACATCGCAACTCAATTTTGTGTAAAGTTTTCTGTGCAAATGATAAATAGACTCAGGCGATCCGTCTTTATCCCCTTATGGCCATCCATCTCTATCCCCCTAGGCCCATCCATCTCTATCCCCCTAGGGCCCACCCCACCACCACCTGAATCTGTCAGAGTTGTGCATGCCTCACTTTTAAAACAAAACTTGAAATCTATATCCTAGAATATAGTACACTACATATTTTGGTGGATGTTATTTAGATTATTACATAATAAGCAATAATAAATATCACTGACAATGATTTAATTAGCTCACCTACCCAAAGGGCAAGTGAGCTGATGCCATGGTGCAGCGTCCGTCTTCTGTCCGGCGTTTTTACAGTCATCAGTAACCAAAAGGCCTTGGATGATGATATTTAGCCAGTAGCATGCTGGGATGAAGGGCTACCAAGTTTGTTCAAATGAATGACCGTCATTCATTTTCAAGGTCACAAGGGTCAAATATGGTAAAAAAACCAATTACGACTTCTGAATAACCAAGAGGCTTAGGGTGATGATATTTGGCCAGTAACATGCTGGGATGAAGGGCTAACAAGTTTGTTCAAATGAATGACCTTCACCCATTTGCAGGGTCACAGGGGTCATATATGTTGAAATCTTTTAAACAACTTCTAGGTAATCTAAAGGTTTTGGCGAGAAGCATGCTGGTATGAAAGGCTATAAAGTCTGTTCAACTTAATGTCCTCGTTTGACTGTTTCAAGGTCACATGTGTCACATGTTTAAATATTTTAATAGATTATTTTGAATCAAACACTGGCATTTTGCCTGTTTTTAAGTCCACTTTCAAGATTACAAGTGTAAGATTAATACCAGGTGAGCGATTCAGGTCCATTAATATTAGGCCTCTTGTTTTTGTTGAACTTTACTTTGTCCTAATTATAAGAATTAATAATGCATATATGATATATCAAAGCCCTACAATCCAGTTTAAGCAACCGTCAGCATATAAACTTGTATTTTGTTTTTTATGTAATGTAAGTGTTCTGTGTCTCGATAAAGGAGTGGACTGCACCAAAAACCTGACAACCTCATATTTTCTACACTGCTGGAATTGCTTCCTTGCCCCATGTATACATTTTGTATATATATATATAAATCAACCTATATAAAATACTGTCATGTTTTAATAAATAAAAAGTAACACAATATGAATATTTAAAGCATTAATTAATGCTAAAATACATCAATGGTACAATATATCAGTAGGAGAAATTCCTCTAGTTTGAAGCATAATTTACATGTTTTTCTTACTGTAATACAAACTAAAAGCTTAAGTTTCAAATTTTCCCAACTTTTAGACTGTCACAATTTGAACTTGAACAGTCATCATATAAACCACACCACTTTTAAACATTTTCTGAAGTCAAATGAACTGGATTAAAAGCTTGAAAGGAGACAGTTTCACGTATAAATATAGCTACACAATATTGACTAAAACAAATTCTGAAAATGGATTCTTATTATTTTAGAGTTTTCTTTTCCTCCAGGTATATACCTTTTATGGAAAGTTTTGACTTCTTTGATAGTAAAAGAGAAATATTCTGCTTTACATATCTCTTAACCTATTGCATCAGTAGTGCCATGTTTCATTTACTTTTTCACATTTCTGCCTGTTGCCGAATCTTTTCCATTTTAACAGGTAAGAGAGGCACCATTTCCCTGCACACAGACAACTCCAGTGCTACTACTTCTGCACCATGTGGAAATTTATCACAGTAGTTAATGATGAACTCATAGCAAGCTGATGTTTTCTTTATATTTTCAAGTCTTTGCTGGACATCAGATACGAGAAATTTGGAATGCAGACGACCCATACAAAACTTCGCAATCAATGCTGGTCTTGTGTTTGAATCTGAGAATTCTTCCGGTAGTTCTGGCTTTCCATCTTTCAGAGAATCCATATATGTCTGGTAATGTTCAATGCTTTGCTGTATCAATGTATTTATCTTCTTGATGATGTGCCTCGATGGTGTAGGACTCTCCGATTCCATAATACTGTATTTTAGATCCACCATTTGGCTGAAGATCTCTGCTAATTCAAAAGTGAGTTGACGCATTATCAGTAGATAATGCTGAGGATTCAATTCGCCAACAATTGCAGCCAGCATGTCTATTCTCCTCTTGTGCATTTTGCACTGGCGTTCAAGATCCATTTCAAAAAATGCTAATACTTTGAAAGCTCGGCTTTGATCCTGGATGACTTCAATGTGGTCTGTACAACGTCCGTCAAACACATAGAATTCCTTTGCATCATTCAGCCATTTCTGCACTTTCAAGAAAACCTCTCTTGCGTCTGAGAATACTTGTACAAAGTCACAAGTAATTTTATCCTCATGGAATGTCACTTCAAGATTAAAGTTTTGGTATTTCATCTTTTCGTCATTCGTAGATTTTTTTTCCTCAGCACCTTTGTCTTCAACTTCTTTCATTAACAAATCTTTTGATTCTTCCAACAGAGCGATTCCATACTTTGCCCAGCATATCTCTATGTCTGCTTTTGCCTGAGTGTATTTTTCTTCATATGTCTCCATGTCCTTTTTTATTGAACCATTAGCCTCGATTTCTTGGAATATCAGTTGAGAACATGCAAGACAATGACGTGCCTGTCGAAAATCCCCAACAGTTATATAATATTGTGAAAGCGTTGCAGCGTTAATGGACCAGTCATAAGGATCATATGTCTGACTGTCTAACTGGCGTTGAAGAGTTGTTTGGCAGTACTGTGCAGACTGCTTGCTGTCGCCGAGCTTAGCATGTACTTGGGCCATGTAGTAAAGTGTGTGCGTATACGTTGCCTCAAAAGCCTGATTTCTCTGATATTCAAGCTTTTCGCTATCCTCGTCAAATTTTCTATAGTATTCTTCAATTGATTTTGGTGATCCACTGGCTTCTTGTTTCCAGTCGTTGTAAACACTTTCTGCTCTCAGGAAATATTCCAGAGCCTTCTTTTGATTTCTCCGTCCTGTCCAAAGAATTCCAATGTTGTTCAGGATCGAATGATAAATATTTGAAGCATCTTTGTGCAGTCGATATTTCTCAAGTTCGTCCAGAGCCCTGAGGAGGTGCTCTTCCCCGGTCGGGAGTTCTTCGGTATCAACGTAGTTAGATCCTAGTTTTACATCCAAAGCAGCAGAAGCAAAACGCAGGTGCTCGCAATCTGGGTTGGCTTCAAATTGGCTTTTGAGTTTCTCTTTGATACTACAGAGGATCTCTCTGGCCTTATATTTTGACAAGTAGGGGTCATCTTCCGGATCGTCCAACGAATATTCGTCACTCAGCTTTCTTGCTTCCTCAAACTGAGAAAACCCCTCTTCATCTAAATAATTCTGCCATTCGGTCGCCATGATGCCGGTTTACTGTCGGAGGATCGCAGAAAATCAGTTTTTAATATGTTAAAGTGTTTTTAAAATATAGATGCATAGCCAACTTCTGTATTTAATTAAATAAATTCAATTTATGATTTCATATTGTCTATCCGAATACAATCTATTATTTTGTTTTAACTTTTAATAATTTCAACCAATCAAAACCGACTAAATAGTTCGTTGCTCAAGCATAAACAACACTGCATACCGGACTGAGGCAGCATAGAAACTGTATACACTATATGTCAAGTGACATCGTGTAAGACATCCCACTGTAATATGTCAAAAGGGTAGGTTCTAAGGCGTTCACATTTAGGTTACACATGTGTTTATACCAAAAAATGACGGCTCACGTGTACCTCTCGTGGTTGAAATATGTCTTTCAACACCGGGACATTTCGGCATAGAAATAACAGTGAAATGACTGCACAGTAGCTGAGTAGGACATTTCGGCATTTGGATGCTGGACTGTATAGCATCAATATATCCTAGATACACGGGTGCTGGACACACAGATATATAGAATATATCACAGTATTATATATTATATACACATATTGTCAGTGTATTCTGCAACGGTGGTTATACATATTGTTTTCTTTTTAATTTTTTCACAATCATAGCATTTCGTCAAGTCATAATCAAGTTTCCACGCATTATATATTTCCGCGCAGCCATTTTATCAAGCTATATCTCATTACTACGTGACCTGCTGGACACTACTCAATGATATTATAGATGTTTGTCTATCGTCTGTAAACTGACACAAAAATTCCCGGAAGTTCCCCGGGAAAACAAGAATTAATCACTATAATTGAAAAACACGCATAAATATTCACTTTTTATCTTGCTCAAATTGAAGCCATACCTGAAAAACCGGTCTTTTTTGAAGTCTGACAAAAGCACGAAAATGTCGTATGCAAATGAGGCCACATCTCCTCGCCAATTTTTTTCCGCTTCCGAAGAGTGATGGTTTGGTTTGGTTTGGTTTAGTATTGTTTAACGTCCTATCAACAGCTATGGCCATTTAAGGATGGGCTTCCCTGTGTGCAAGATGCATGCATGTAGTGTACATGTATGCGTGTGTTTTGGGAGGCTGCGATATGTTCGTGTTTGTCTCCTTGTGATAGCACGGAACTGATGCCAATTTATAGTGCTACCGCACTGAAACATACTGCTGAAGACACCCAGCAGGACACCCCACCCGGTCACATTATACTGACAATGGGCAAACCAGTTGTCCCACTCCTAAATTGCTGAGCGTTAAGCAGGAGTAGAAACTACCATTTTTACAGACTCTGGTATGTCTTGACCAGGGGACAGAACCCAAAGCTTCCCTCACAGGAACGAACGCTCAACTAAAGTCCAAAAGTGAGGCATTGTCAAGAGAGACATTAGGAAGAAGAAAGTTGTTTAGAAAGAAAAGAAAAGATAAGATCCCTAATTTAGTCGCCTCTTACGATCATGCAATGGGGGCAGCAGGTACAATTCTTACGCCTGCAGGGACCCAAAGAGCAAAGGAGACATTCTCATATCAATAAACACTGTTTTCAATGAAACATTAACCTTAATTGTTATGCAATTAATGAACTTCTAATTTTTACCAATTTTAAACAAAATAAAATGAGAAATAATTTACCATCAACAAAAACAGATATAAGACTGCACAAAAAAAGGATAACAGATTCTATTATAACTAAATAAATGTGTGGGTTTTTTTTTTTTTAATTACATGAATTTGTTCAAGCTGACATATTGAAAAATCAATAAAAAATGTAAAATTTTATAGTGTATTCGAGTAATCTTTACTTTGAACACTAAATGAAACATTGTATGTAACTTCAGGTCAGAAGATACCTGAATGGTCCTGATCATTGCTCTGAGAATGATTTGTGATAAGATATAACGAAATATTCTACACAATATCAAGGGAATTATGGACAAGTAAAATGAAAAAGACATTAACCTTTTATTTTCACATTACAGATACGATACAGGTAACCTTCTCTGGGACCTTGCCATAACACAAGCTAATGATAAAACAAGTAAGTGTTTCTAGTAAGATAGCAATCAATTTGATTTTCAAAGTCTTGACTAATAGTTATAAGCTAGTGCTGCAAATGGGCTGATGATCGATTATAATCGAAAATCAATTGATTTGCCCTTTCCGATTCCGATTATCAATTTCAAATTCCATAATCGATATAATCAGTTCATCATTAAAATCAAAGTATTTAAATGTCCTCCGTGTAAAATGTGATTTGAAAGTCATATACTGATATGATTTATACTATATGATTGATAAAAATGCTTAAAAGTTGCTTGAGTTGATATCCATTCAGTATAAAAGAATGAAACCTAATGTACAGTGAACAAACTCTGTCTATTGATGTTATAGTAGTGTTCTCACTTTATTTGGGTATTTAGCCCCAAAATATTATAAACCAGTTACCGGTATGCAATCAATCATTAATCGGTGTACTACTTCTGATTACAAATTGATTATCGACTATTATTTTCAACGGATTGCCCATCAATACTTTTTTGCCTTTTTATTATTTTGAATATAACTTTTGTTTGAAGATGAAAACACTGTCAGTGATGACTCTGCTGTATTTGTGATTGGAGGGAAAGGAGCGGTAAGTTTGGAAGGATTACTGGGTCTGTTACTTTTTACCCTTTTTAGATAAGACAATGAGAGTAATCATTTTGGGTCGATTTAGACTCAAAGAAGTGTGTTTTTCCCTGCCTTCTGAAGTTCACCACTGACGAAGCAAGTGGGTTACATACGTAATAATAATAATTCGAGGTTTTTATATACTGCTTTATCACAACCTAGTTCGCAGGTTGTCTCAAAGTGGTTCAAAAACTATTACTCGTGGTTATAATTATAGGGTCTTTGCAACCAGCCAATATCTTTCAGAACTCCCTGGGGAGCAGTACAGCCGGTGCTGCCATTTCGTCGCTCACAGCTAGCATTCAACAATTTTAGAACTGCCCAACCACATACTCATTTACAGCTCAGTAGACTGAAACAAGCGGAGTAAAGTATTTTGCTCAAAGATACAACACAGTGCCGTGACGTAACTCGAACCCTCAACCTTCAGTCACGAGCCTGGCGTCCTACCACTAGACTACCATGCCTCACATTAGAGGTTCCAATGACTGATGATTGGTTTTAATTTTAGGTTTATCTAACTCAAGTGAGTTACTTTTTAAAATTGCAAAAGGATACAAGGTTTATTGAGTGTCTTTAAACAATTTGAAAATTAACTAACGAGAGTTAGGTAAACATGATAATCAACCATAATGAGTTTGGCGACCTTTTTCTCCAACAACGTTCAGATGTTATGTATAGAAAACTGTACGTTTCTATTGAGAATACATTATTCCTGTTTCTGATATGGCACATAATTGCCTTAAACTATGATGTCACAATGGTAGATGACGTTGCACAAGCATTGCTATGTGAGTGATGAAACCTATTGTGGGTTTTGGAGAAATATAACTATTACCTTTGTCACAATCGCTATTGTACCATTGAAAATAACTATGTAGTCAATTGACCGTAAACATGGATTAATTCGTAAGTAATAATTTTAAAAAAAACATGTTGTACCAGGAAAAAATAAAGACATAGAAATGAAGTAATGGTTATACGGGTACATTTACTTTCATCGTTTACGTTGGCTTCAACATGCAGACGTCATTCATATCAATTCATTATAAGTTTCTAATTTGTGAAACAATTTTATTTCAGGGGAAAACATCCATTATTCTACGTTTTCTAGACAGGTAAGTGTCACATTTATCTTTTGTGAGTCTGTATAAAAATAACAAAGGTTTTTTTGCTGAGTTGTGCTTTAAATCCTGTGTTCAAAGCACTTCATTCTAAAATATTTAGTATTGTACAGATAATGCTTTTTTGACTCATTCACCCCCACATATTTAAACTGGACTTGCCCAGTCTTTGATTTGGTAAGGTTCAAATTTGAATTTAATGGTGAATGGGCTAAAATCTGAACCTATGATAGAATATAAATGAAAATATTTTGGTTTATGTGCGGTTCATATATATAGCAAAAACAAGACCTTTATTCTGTGCGCTGTTTTGATAGAAGGTACTTGATCATGAACTGCCACTTCTGTTAATAGTAACAACTATGTACAGTATTTGTATTCCGTGTTTTGACAGAGATGAGGCATCCAAACCTACAGTGGCCTTAGAATATACATTTGGCCGCAAAGCCAAGGGACATAATATAGTAAGTATGATATAGAAATGTTTTTAAAAAATTGTTCAGCAGGATATATGGATATAATTGTCCAGAATTATGTTCCCAATGAACCTGCTACCTACCAGATTTTTACATTATTCCTAGATTCATATTTTTGTTTAGTACTACTTGATATATTTAAATAGAGTTAATTGTCATCAATATTTTTACTGTATAGCTGTTAATTTTTCCAGTCATGTTCATCTGTCTTGGGTGTCAACCTGTAGCTTGTAAAACCATTAGATCTGTGGATAGGTAAGAGTTGGTTATCCACAGTGGTGATCCACGGTGATGATCCACTGTGGGGATCAGTCACTTTGCTCTGGTGGTAAGCTACCAGGTTTGGCAGCACAAATTGTAAAGTTTTAAAACGTTGCACAATACCTGAGAGTTGATCACTTTTTATACCGGTGATGGATGTTCTGGCAGGTGTGTTGACTGTGGTAGCATTCTAATGTTTTGTGATTTGTGTATTGAAAGGCTAAAGATGTTGGTCACATATGGGAGTTGGGTGGAGGGACATGGCTGACCAAACTAATGGATGTACCTCTCAATCCTGACACTATCACGTAAGTACACATAGTTAGATAAAGACGAGATACACATTGAGAACACCACCACATGTGTTCTTATCCTTCAATTCAGTCCAGTCACTTAAAAACAAATCATTCAACAATGATAACGTCATTTACCTGAGCAAGTAAAAACGTTCCAGCCAGACCCATCATATGAGTGCAAATCATTCACCACAGACACCGTAACATACTATTCTCCTAGACAAAATCTAATATGTATAAGTCATAACATGAACATCATAAGTATAAATTATTCAACACAGACTTTAATATTTACTGTATACCTGGAAAATTTCACCCTTTACCGATAAAATCCATATTCGCTCGGTGTTCATTTTGTCTTCACACGTATATGGTGTAAAGTAAACCTCGTTCGCTTTTATGATAAATTTGACTTCTTTTACAGAGGGCAAAAAAAGGGAAATGTTAAATTTTAGTGAAAATAGTTTCTGGCTTAGCCTTACAACACTCCAGTAAAAATCAATCAACCCCGACTCATTAACAGGTTACAAGCCATTCAACTAAGACATTATCTGAAATAATTACAAGTTAAACAGTGGCTGTTTATTTTTTAATTCTTTTATATGAATCAGGATCTTGAAATTCTATTAACTCTAGCTTAACTCACTCACCCCTGAAGTTTCATAATGAACTATTCCAACCTTTGAATTAGAAGAGTTCAAATGCATCTTCAGGGGTGAATGAGTTAAATGTATTTATGTAATAAAGCTATGCTGTTGTAGACACACTGCCTTGGCTATAGTGGTTGACCTGTCTAAACCCAGTGAGATCTGGTACACGATGGAGTCCTTACTAGCGGCTGCCAAGTCTAGGATAGAGACCATCATAGCAGAGATGAAACCAGACTACCCAAATATCAGAGAACAGTTGAAGAAAGAAGCCTGGAAACGAGTGGGGGAGGATCACATGGTAAGTCTTATGTGTCATTAGTAAGGAGGAAAGGAGGAGAGGGGGTCATATGGTAAAATGGCAAAGGGGTGTGGGCTGTTTAGTAGGTAGAGAAAGTTGGGGTTTGGGGTGGGGGAGGATCACATGGTAAGTCATCATGTGCCATTCTGGTAGGTAGAAAAGGAGGAGAGGGGGTCATATGGTAAAATGGCAAAGGGGAGTGGGCTGTTAAGTAGGCAGAGGAAGTTGGGGTTTGGGGTGGGGGAGGATCACATGGTAAGCCATCATGTGCCATTATACAGTAGTCGGTGGAAAAGGGGAGGTAGTGGGAGGATTTTCAAATCGTAAAATGGCAATGGGAAGTGTTGGTTATTCAGTAGGCAAGAAAGTTGGTGGGGGAAGGGGGTCACATGGAAATTTGGAAGGATTGGGGGTTAGTTGGTGAAGATATGGGTAAGGAAAATACAATAAAAACCTAAACATGTATACACTTTACTAAAAATGTATGTACATTATTGTTGTCTTAATGAATATTTTATTTTGTTCTCTGTCCTCATGAATGTCAATATTTAGATGTTGACTTATTGTTTATCTGTAACTAGGATTACAATATAACATGGTGACTTTTAGTATGGTATGTTTGATGTAATTTTTTTTTTTTTTTTTTTTTAAGTATTACAATTTTTTTACTCTGCTACACTATTGAGATCTGGTTTTATATATTTACAGGACAGTACGATGATGGACCCGTTTTTAATACCACTGATAATAATAGGTGGTAAATATGATATTTTCCAGGTAAGATTCCCTCAGTTCTTTGTATGTGGTTATCAGTATGTCTGCAGTGTACTTTTATACGGATATACCAGGTAGTAACATATTTCTAGTGTAAGAGTAAAGGGCCCCTTTCGAGTATCCGGTTCAACCGCTTTGTCTGTTTTTAAATGTAACATTTTTGGGTATAAATCCTAGCGGACCTGCAAATGTGTATGCAGGCCTTGCAAGGCTTTGTCAAGGCTCGCCTGAAAGCAGCATCAGATTACCAGGTCCGACCTTATTTCATAAACAAACAAATCTGGTCCAACTGGTTCCACCATTTCGATCGCGATAAATGAATGTGTCCTAGCTCTCGTTAGTTGTACTTGACCCTAGAGCTGTCTAAAACATCCATTAATTTGACGATTAAACAATAAAACCGTATGATTATATTATGATTTATTCATATCTCAATTTATGCAGATCTCTTAGCTATACAATGTAATTTTTTTAATTCGCTAACAATATTTCAGAAGAAGAAAAAATGTCAAAAGTACTTTCACTCAAATTCTACAGAGTTATCTCCCTTTTAACATACAGTGAACCATTCTTGCTTACGAACTAATGATGGCTACTGAGGGTCCTTATGGCTGAGACCTTTATTCGATTTATCTCAAATTTTTTATTTAGCTCATATACATTTTATATGAAGTAGTGAAATAATCAAAGATGACCATCAAGAATTCTGATTGGCTCTAAGCAAATGTCATGATCTATAGCTGAAATGTTTTAGGTTAAATGGTTAAAATTTTACAGGTTCATGTATGTTTCTAATAATGCTGATAGTAGCTGAAAAACTGTTCTTTGTTTAAGTTTGATTTTCATCATTTTGGGTGCCTTGTGAAACAGTCCCTGTAACAGTTAGCACTTGGTTCTAATAGAATTTTCTAAAATTGCTGCTTTGCTCTAAGTTTTTATTTTTAAATCCTACGAAGGAGAAACACATAGTGTATGCCACTGACGGTAACCCATATTATAGTTATCATATATATCCGTTGAGTGTTACTTATAGAAGTGATAGCAGGTTCTTTTATTGTTTATAAATGTCTTTCTTAATATGTATTGATAACAGATGTACAGAGATGTGTTTTTCGTGTTCACAGGATTTTGACTCGGAAAAGCGAAAAGTGATCTGTAAGACCCTGAGATTTGTAGCACATGTCCATGGAGCATCATTACAGGTAAGTTGTCAGGTAACCATAGCACTGACCCTGAGATTTGTAGCTTGTATCCATAGAGCATCATTACAGGTAAGTTGTCTGGTTACCATAGCACTGACCCGGAGATTTGTAGCTTGTATCCATAGAGTATCATTACAGGTAAGTTGTCAGGATACCATAGCACTGACCTGAGATTTGTAGTTGTATCCATAGAGCATCATTACAGGTAAGTTGTCTGGTTACCATAGCACTGACCCGGAGATTTGTAGCTTGTATCCATAGAGCATCATTACAGGTAAGTTGTCAGGATACCATAGCACTGACCTGAGATTTGTAGCTTGTATCCATAGAGCATCATTACAAGTAAGTTGTCAGGATAGCATAGCACTGACCTGAGATTTGTAGCTTGTATCCATAGAGCATCATTACATGTAAGTTGTCAGGATACCATAGCACTGACCTGAGATTTGTAACTGGTATCCATAGAGCATCATTACAGGTAAGTTGTCAGGATACCATAGCACTGACCTGAGATTTGTAACTTGTATCCATAGAGCATCATTACAGGTAAGTTGTCAGGATATCACAGCACTGACCCTGAGATTTGTAGCTTGTATCCATAGAGCATCATTACCGGTAAGTTGTCAGGTTACCGTAGCACTGACCCTGAGATTTGTGGCTTGTATCCATAGAGCATCCTTACAGGTAAGTTGTCAGGATAACATAGCACTGACCTGAGATTGGTAACTTGTATCCATAGAGCATCCTTACAGGTAAGTTGTCAGGTTACCATAGCACTGACCCTGAGATTTGTAGCTTGCATCCATGGAGCATCATTACAGGTAAGTTGTCAGGTTACCATAGCACTGACCCTGAGATTTGTAGATTGTATCCATAGAGCATCATTACAGGTAAGTTGTCAGGATACCATAGCACTGACCCTGAGATTTGTAGCTTGTATCCATGGAGCATCATTACAAGTAAGTTGTCAGGTTACCATAGCACTGACCCTGAGATTTGTAGCTTGTATCCAAAGAGCATCATTACAGGTAAGTTGTCAGGTTACCATAGCGCTGACCCTGAGATTTGTAGCTTGTATCCATAGAGCATCATTACAGGTAAGTTGTCAGGTTACCATAGCGCTGACCCTGAGATTTGTAGCTTGTATCCATAGAGTATCACTAAAGGTAAATTGTCAGGTTACCATAGCACTGACCCTGAGATTTGTAGCTTGTATCCATAGAGCATCATTACAGGTAAGTTGTCAGGATACCATAGCACTGACCTTGAGATTTGTAGCCAGGGTTTGTATTCAACATTGTTTTACTTTGTATAATGGTATGATACACTCTAACTTGATCAGTGCTATGTATGAACATTGTATAATAAGAGTTCATCATTATAATTTGTTACATATACCAGGCTCACTTTACATAATCATCATACACAGAAATTTATGTGTTGGGACTTAAACAGTTACTACAATGATGTTTAGATTATGTGTATTATTTTCATTGTAAAGACTAGCTTAATCTATATTTTGTTGAATGAATTAGTAGGAGTGATGTATCGGGGTATGCCCTCATCGTGGTGTTTGTATTCAGTTTTTCAGCATCAAGCAGGAACAACAGGTGAACAAGATGAGAGCCCTGATCAGTCACCACCTGTTTGAAACGTCATTAAGGTGAGCATTACAGATATATTACGTAGATTGTTTTTATGGAAAATATAGATAAAATGAAAATCGTAGAGATATAATATATATATCGGAGGATGATATGGTGCTGTGGTCTGTTATGATAACTTCCTGTTTACAGTAAGACGTTACAGACGGAACACAACAAACCTATACAGGTGGCTGCGGGACATGACTCCCTACAACAGATAGGTAGGTATAGGTATAAATAATTTGACATGTTCTTTCCGTTGTATTTACTGTACAATACCTAATACTAGCATCTAGATGAGTTTAAGTGCTCTATTTCCTTTCTCATTCTAGGTACACCGCCGTTGTCTGATAAAGATGTCGGTAGAATCAATGCAAAGTAAGTTCCTTCTCTGTTGCCCTGTTGGTTATGTGTGTAGTGTTAATGTATACAATGTATTGTTTTGTATGTAAACAATGTATTGTTTTGTATGTAAACAATGTATTGTTTTGTATGTTTACAATGTATTGTTTTTTATGTTTACAATGTATTGTTTTGTATGTTTACAATGTATTCTATTGTATTTGCACAATGTAATGTTTTGTATGTTTACAGTGTATTCTATTGTATTTTCACAATGTATTGTTTTGTATGTTTACAATGTATTCTATTGTATTTACACATATATTGTTATGTATGTTTACAATGTATTCTATTGTATTTGCACAATGTATTGTTTTGAATGTTTACAATGTATTCTATTGTATTTGCACAATGTATTGTTTTGTATGTTTACAATGTATTCTATTGTATGTATCTTACATTCTGTGCTGATATTGATGAAACTTTGTCCACTTGGGTTGATAGTACCTAATGTTATTTTACACTTATAATTTATTTTTATTTTGACTGGTTCAATATGAGTTATGCCCATTCTCTGATTTTCTTTTGCAAATATTGTGCATAATACTGCTTCATATTTTCTCAGCCAATATTTATAGACTCGATCTTCGTTTTTTTTTAGAAATTTTCCCCATTGCCATTTAATTCTTAGTTCAACTGTTTTTATAGGAGTTGTTCCTCTTTTCTGATCTTTTATGCGGGAGGGAGGGTATTAAGTTAGTCTGTGGCTTACAGTTCTACTCCCAATAAATGTGTTTTCAGTGACATTCTGAGGTAACACTGGAAATGAGTTACTGACGAAATGATAGAAATTTCCACAATAATTAGTTCTACTGGAGCAGTCAACATGATTTATGTATTTTAATGGAATTTATTTTTAGATTAAGGACCATTAAAATTAATCAAGTTGAAACTGAAAATGTTGTGGGGCAAGTCATGTACATTCAGATTCTACATCATATTGACAGTCAAAGCATATTTTGTACAATGCAATGAGACACTATCATACATTGATCCTCAGGCTGGAAACAGATGGCTTATATCCACTGATTTGGTACGTGTAAATGGAGTTCACACAGGTAATAGATACTCCAGGTCCTCCTGCTAAAGTTTTACTTTGTTTGTATGGTAACCATGGATTCAGGTCCTCCTGCTAAAGTTTACTTTGTTTGTATGGTAACCTTTGGTTTAGGTCCTCCTGCTAAAGTTTTACTTTGTGTGTATGGTAACCTTTGGTTTAGGTCCTCCTGCTAAAGTTTACTTTTTTTGTATGGTAACCTTTGATTAAGGTCCTCATGCTAAAGTTTACTTTGTTTGTATGGTAACCTTTGATTAAGGTGCTCCTGCTCTAGTTTACTTTGTTTGTATGGTAACCTTTGATTAAGGTGCTCCTGCTCTAGTTTACTTTGTTTGTATGGTAACCTTTGGTTTAGGTCCTCCTGATAAAGTTTTACTTTGTGTGTATGGTAACCTTTGGTTTAGGTCCTCCTGCTAAAGTTTACTTTGTTTGTATGGTAACCTTTGGTTTAGGTCCTCCTGCTAAAGTTTACACAATACATTAACAAAGTCCAGGTCATTTAACTGGAGTTTATTTATACTGCTTGTTCAGTAACCTAGGGTTGAGTTTGACTAGCTGGAGTTTATTTATACTGTTTGTTCAGTAACCTAGGTTCAATTTGACTAGCTGGAGTTTATTTATACGATTTGTTCAGTAACCTAAGGTTCAATTTGACTAGCTGGAGTTTATTTATACTGTTTGTTTAGTAACCTAGGGTTCAATTTGACTAGCCGGAATTTTATTATACTGTTTGTTCAGTAACCTAGGGTTCAATTTGACTAGCTGGAGTTTATTTATACTATTTGTTCAGTAACCTAGGGTTCAATTTGACTAGCTGGAGTTCATTTATACTGTTTGTTCAGTAACCTAGGGTTCAATTTGGCTAGCTGGAGTTTATTTATACTGTTTGTTCAGTAACCTAGGGTTCAATTTGACTAGCTGGAGTTTATTTATACGGTTTGTTCAGTAACCTAGGGTTCAGTTTGACTAGCTGGAGTTTATACTTCATGGTAACTTACACTGAATGTATGAATGAATGACTAAGGTTTTTGGCTGGAATTGACACTGGTTGTATGGTTATATGGCTAAGGTCCCATCCTTGCCAACTCTCCCTATTTAGGAGGGAGACTCCCTATTTTGGATCTTTAAATATAATATTTCCAACAAGTTTTCAGTTCAGTTCAGTTTCTTTATTTCCGAGAGCCATCTGACTCATAGGCTATATATCAAACAATTACGTCATGTAGTACACGTGAATTTACTGAACTATTTCTATATTCTAAGATTTAATGATTCCATTTGGAGAAAAAAAAAACACATTTTTAAGAGTGATTTTGTCTGTAGGGGATGTTTACAATGTACACATACAGATGTATATTATTTATTGTTTTAATTTTGAGCACACGGAATCTCCCCAATGGAAATTTCAAAAGGTTGGCAAGTATAAGGTCCTTTAGGTGGTATATACACTTGTTGTTTTGTAACTGATCAATAATGTTTTGCCTGATTTTACAGCCTAATACAGACTGCTTCCCCTAGCAAAAAAGTACTGTATTTTTCCCGAAATGAAGGAAAAAAATGAGGGATATCTTCCCAGTTTCAATGAATATAATGCTATATTTTCCCCAATTCATGTAGGAATGGACTGGTGTAAAATTTAAGAAGAAAAACACTGCTGTTATCATAATATGTTGTGTAGCTTAAGTTAACACTACTGTCACATGGCTCAGGTTCCCTGTCTGGCAGTTATGTAATCTTTTGTTTACTATACAATTGTGTAGACTTGTCACTTTAAGCTTTGATAAATACTGCCACTGCAGTTCAACAAAAATCGATGACACTTGATACAAAACAGCAAACACTTTTAAGTTTGAGAACAAACATTTTGAAAACTTGTGTTCGTCCTATGCAACTGTTATCTGCAATATCGTAAATTATCATTTTTTTCCTTCTGCTCATATATTATTATTTTCTAGGCAAATAGCTTACACCAGCACTTACATGCTGGCAAAATTCTGTATACCACAAACGTTCGCCCAGTCAAATATTCGCCTGTCACCATGAAAATCTGTATTCGCCTACGTATATATTGTGTGCTGTGTACTAGTATTCGCTGTCAGGGTGAATTCGCCCTAATGAAGAAATGCAAGAAAGGTGAAAATTAAACTCCAGCGAATATTTTCCTGAATACAGTATATAACTTCACAAACTCTAAACTACCCACACATTTGGCCAACTTCATAGTCATTCACAAAATTTAGCAGCATAATGGCATTGAAATTTAATTAGTATTCACCATATTTGCCATAACTTCTGCAGATTTCCATCTACATGTACATAAACCTCTTCACCTACACATGGCGAAGAATTTGTCATGATTTGTATCAGAAAGGTCAAAGTAATTGTAAATCGGTACATTGATATGAGTTTTGAACCATTGCTGGTGTGAACAGTTGCCATTCCTTTCGCAGACAAACTATAAACTACCCCACACACAATTTGCCAAATTTGTTGTCATTGACACAACTGGATGCATAGGTTACACTTCGCTGGAGGCATATATTTTTGTCTTTGCTTTACATTAACATTTACTGTTACAGCTACTGGCAAACACACGATGTTGTCATTGAGGTCATCCAGTACAAATGTCTTCTATCGGGTATTTAAATACAAACTGTACAACCCTAAGTGAAAATTAGACATCAGAGTTCAAGGTCATCTAGTACAAATGTCTTCTATTAGGTATTTGAATACAAACTGCACAACCCTAAGTGAAAATTAGACATCAGAGTTCAAGGTCATCCAGTACAAATGTCTTCTATCGGGTATTTAAGTACAAACTACAACCCTAAGTGAAAATAAGACATCAGTGTTCAGTGTTAAGGAATGCTAAGTCTTCTGTACATGTACTGACAAACACTGTAGACCTCTTGGACGGTCAAGACAATCCAAGCTAAAATTATGTCAAGTTTAGTTTCTGTAAATAATTCGAAGATATCAGTGTCCCAGCTAAAGAGTTCTCTATAATTAACACAAAAAAATAATTACTTATGAGGTGACAGTTATTTACAGGGCTGTACTAAATCTAAAAGCCTTGAAATGAACTTGAATAGAGATTACCATCGTGGCTGAGGATTTCAAAAATTGAACAAAGTCGTATTTTTGTCGAGCCTGGTTACTGAGATGTAAGAGCAAACATTGCTGGTTTGGAGGCACTCGAGAGCTGCGTGGGGCCTGTCATAGGTCCTGTCATACGTTATACTGCTCATTATAGCATGGCGTCTTGTGCACCGAAATCAATCGAGTCCTCTCTGAGAACATCAATGTGTACTTCAAACTTTAACCGTCAGAACTTGGCAGTTTAATTTACAATACAATACAAACCGCTTCATTCCATGAAGGATCAATGCACAGAATTTTAGAGTAGGTTGGTGTAACTGAAAAGGTGAAAAATCGGAAGACATTCGGGTTCACTTTTGTAATTACAGTTCATCATCATCATCGTCGTATTAAATATTGATTTTGTGTTTTGTATGTTAAGTTTAAATCCTGCTAAAGGTTTTGGTATTTTTACGATTCAGAAGGAAAATAAATCAGGGTAATGATTTCTTTTTCATCGAAAGCATCAATCATAATTTCTTTTTTATAAAAGGCAAAAAATAGAGATTGCAATTTTTTTTTAGTGACAAATAGCATTTCTTGGAGCAACTACCATAACACATGTATGTAGTCGAAAAATCTTTGAAATGCATGGCCATATGGAATATGTTAATATGTATCATAAATGAGGCAATCTGTTTATGCTTCAGTACCATAAGATTTCTATGCAAGGCTATGTATAAGACAAAGTATACTTATGAAAAGGTGAAGCAGACTTAAACAGTGTCATGGTATATATATGTACCTTAAATACACAGGTATGATTGTGTTTTGTTAATAACATTGACCCTTTACTGTATACAGAGAAATTTCTGCTGCATTTTTTTTTTTTTTTTTTTGGCCATCCATTATAACTGTGGGTGAAGTTGTCATTGCAGCAAATATAAGTAAACATCATGAATGATATACGTAATGATTAAATGCAGTGGGCAAAATTACCACTTCATGTAAATGGATTTTACTGGCAAAGCTAGCGCAAACGTTTGACTGGAATAAAGTTCCCAACATACAGTAATAACGGTAGTGTGACAGGTGTAAATTGTTTTACTGAACACTAATAACGGTAGTGTGACAGGGGTAAATTGTTTTACTGAACGGTAATAACGGTAGTGTTACAGGTGTGAATTGTTTTACTGAACAGTAATAACGGTAGTGTGACAGGTGTAAAACAATTTACACCTGTCACACTATCGTTATTAGTGTTCAGTAAAACAATTTTCACCTGTCACCCTTCCGTTATTACTGTTCAGTAAAACAATTTACCCCTGTCACACTACCCTTATTACTGTTCAGTAAAACAATTCACACCTGTATCACTACCGTTATTACCGTTCAGTAAAACAATTTCCCCCTGTCACACTACCGTTATTACTGTTCATTAAAACAATTTACTCCTGTCACACTACCGTTATTACTGTTCAGTAATACAATTTACACCTGTCACACTACCGTTATTAGTGTGACAGGTGTAAATTGTTTTAATGAACAGTAATAACGGTAGTGTGACGGGTGTAAATTGTTTTACTGAATGGTAATAACGGTAGTGTGACAGGTGTAAATTGTTTTACTGAACCGTAATAACGGTAGTGTGACAGGTGTAAATTGTATTACTGAACAGTAATAACGGTAGTGTGACAGGGGTAAATTGTTTTAATGAACACTAATAACGGTAGTGTGACAGGTGTTAAATTGTTTTACTGAACAGTAAAATCGGTAGTGTGACAGGTGTAAATTGTTTTACTTAACAGTAATAACGGTTGTGTGACAGGTGTAAATTGTTTTAATGAACATTAATAACGGTAGTGTGACGGGTGTAAATTGTTTTACTGAATGGTAATAACGGTAGTGTGACAGGTGTAAATTTTTGTACTGAACACTAATAACGGTAGTGTGACAGGAGTAAATTGGTTAACTGAACACTAATAACGATAGTGTGACAGGTGTAAATTGTTTTACTGAAAACTAATAACGGTAGTGTGACAGGTGTAAATTATTTTACTGAACACTAATAACGGTAGTGTGACATGTGTAAATTGTTTTACTGAACACTAATAACGATAGTGTGACAGGTGTAAATTGTTTTACTGAAAACTAATAACGGTAGTGTGACAGGTGTAAATTGTTTACTGAACAATAATAACGGTAGTGTGACAGGTGTAAATTGTTTAACTGAACAGTAATATCGGTAGTGTAACAGGTGTAAATTGTTTTTCTGAACAGTAATAACGGTAGTGTGACAGGGGTAAATTGTTTTACTGAACACTAATAACGGTAGTTTGACAGGTGTAAATTGTTTTACTGAACACTAATAACGGTAGTTTGACAGGTGTAAATTGTTTTACTGAACACTAGTAATGGTAGTGTGACAGGTGTAAATTGTTTTACTGGACACTAATAACGGTAGTGTGACAGGTGTAAATTATTTTACTGAACACTAATAACGGTAGTGTGACATGTGTAAATTGTTTTACTGAACACTAATAACGATAGTGTGACAGGTGTAAATTGTTTTACTGAACAGGAATAACGGGAGTGTGACAGGTGTAAATTGTTTTACTGAACCGTAATAACGGTTGTGTGACAGGTGTAAATTGTTTTAATGAACAGTAATAACGGTAGTGTGACGGGTGTAAATTGTTTTACTGAATGGTAATAACGGAAGTGTGACAGGTGTAAATTGTTTTACTGAACAATAATAACGGTAGTGTGACAGGTGTAAATTGTTTACTGAACAATAATAACGGTAGTGTGACAGGTGTAAATTGTTTAACTGAACAGTAATATCGGTAGTGTAACAGGTGTAAATTGTTTTTCTGAACAGTAATAACGGTAGTGTGACAGGGGTAAATTGTTTTAATGAACACTAATAACGGTAGTGTGACAGGAGTAAATTGTTTTAATGAACAGTAATAACGGTAGTGTGACAGGTGTAAATTGTTTTTCCTCAACACTAATAACGGTAGTGTGACAGGTGTAACAGTAATAACGGTAGTGTGACGGGTGTAAATTGTTTTACTGAATGGTAATAACGGTAGTGTGACAGGTGTAAATTGTTTACTGAACAATAATAACGGTAGTGTGACAGGTGTAAATTGTTTTAATGAACATTAATAACGGTAGTGTGACGGGTGTAAATTGTTTTACTGAATGGTAATAACGGAAGTGTGACAGGTGTAAATTGTTTTACTGAACGGTAATAACGGTAGTGTGACAGGTGTAATTGTTTTACTGAACACTAATAACGGTAGTTTGACAGGTGTAAATTGTTTTACTGAACACTAGTAATGGTAGTGTGACAGGTGTAAATTGTTTTCCTGAACACTAATAACGGTAGTGTGACAGGTGTAATTTGTTTTACTGAACACTAATAACGGTAGTGTGACATGTGTAAATTGTTTTACTGAACACTAATAACGGTTGTGTGACAGGTGTAAATTGTTTTACTTAACAGTAATAACGGTTGTGTGACAGGTGTAAATTGTTTTAATGAACACTAATAACGGTAGTGTGACAGGTGGAAATTGTTTTACTGAACAGTAAAATCGGTAGTGTGACAGGTGTAAATTGTTTTACTGAACGGTAATAACGGTAGTGTTAAAGGTGTGAATAGTTTTACTGAAAAGTAATAACGGTAGTGTGACAGGTGTAAATTGTTTACTGAACAATAATAACGGTAGTGTGACAGGTGTAAATTGTATTACTGAACAGTAATAACGGTAGTGTGACAGGGGTAAATTGTTTTAATGAACACTAATAACGGTAGTGTGACAGGTGTAAATTGTTTTACTGAACAGTAATAACGGTTGTGTGACAGGTGTAAATTGTTTTACTGAACACTAATAATGGTAGTGTGACAGGTGTAAATTGTTTTACTGAACACTAATAACGGTAGTGTGACAGGTGTAAATTGTTTAACTGAACAGTAATATCGGTAGTGTGACAGGTGTAAATTGTTTTTCTGAACAGTAATAACGGTTGTGTGACAGGTGTAAATTGTTTTACTGAACAGTAATAACGGTAGTGTGACAGGTGTAAATTGTATTACTGAACAGTAATAACTGTAGTGTGACGGGTGTAAATTATTTTACTGAACAGTAATAATGGTAGTGTGACAGGTGTAAATTAATTTACTGAAATACTGTTGGCTCAAGGTAAATTGAAAACCAGTTTTGGTTGTTCGTCTTTTGTATTTCTTTATAATTTTAATTTTGTTTCCCTCGTGGTGTTTATGGGAAGTTCAGGAGCGTCTCTTACAATTACGAATGCTTTCAGTGTTTCCAGTAGTAAAATAACCGGTGAAATCCAGTGGATACCCATCTTTAGAGATAATTTCCCAAAGAAATCACAATTATTTACAATTATGGTTTCAGAATATTGCTGTAGGCTTAACGGTTTCAATTCGGTATTGATTGCAATACTGCAAATAGACAGGGCTTTGATACATTTTTCCTGAAATCATAATTAAAGTATTAATTTTTCGAAATGGCAGTAAAGTAAAACATTGCTAGTGGACCAGATGTTGATGACATACCTACAGGCATTGGAATAAAAATTATGTGGATTTTGATAAAAGAAAAAAACAATAAAAAACAACATTATAATGACTAATTTATATTGCACAAATGATCACACGAAGCTAGCTAGGCAGTTTCTATAAATAGAAACAGTAGGTGACACCAATCTTCCCCAGGGCCCACTCCAGCTAGCTCTTATGTCTCTAATTGTCACAGATAAAGGCTCCTCCGAATACAAATACAAAAAAGGGGAAAATCAAACAGGAGCACAAACAAGTGAAAATTAATTTGCAGCAAAAAGGATGACAAATAAGGCCAGTAAAAGATGAAAATAGAATGGGGCCATAAAAGGATGAAGTAAAACAGGGGCAAAAAAGGGGAAATATAATGGGAGTGAAAAACTTGGAAGTAGAATAGGGTTAATAAGGTGAAAATAAAATGGGCAAAAATGACAAAATAAAATGGGGAGCAAAAAAGGATGAAAATGAAATGGGAGCTAAAACCAATTCGAGTGAATCAGATGTGAAAACCTACAAAATTGGTGAAACATATGATGGGGACAAAAGGGACGGGGAATGGAATGGGTGTAATAATTCCTATTTTACACTGTTTATTTTAATCAATTCACACATGATATATATATATAGTGAACTGCTTATATAGAAACGTGTGTGGTAACCAGGTATTTGTTTTGGTGTTCATATGAGTTTACAACCATTGAATTAGTACAAATATTCATGGTCATCTTAGTAGTTTGTGTGAAAATGAGTCCGTACTTAGTTGCACGCCTATTCCGTGTGGTAAGTTCCTTTGGTTTATAAACAGTTGATTGCCCTTGGTATAAAGTTTACTACAGTTATATTTGGAAAAATTGGTGATTGGGTGGTGCAGTGGATAGCGCACTAAGGCAGCCGGGGTTTGATCGGATATGAAAAGGTATGGGGTCACCTGCCCGACTACGTGGGTTTTCTCCGGGTACTCTGGTTTCCTCCCACAATAAGACTCCCTGCGCGCTAACTAAAATCCGGGCCAACAAGAGTTTATATATATTTGGACATTTTCACCACCGCATCAGAAGTCAACCGATTTCTGTTTTACCAAATATGATCTACCGGTATTCATGACTTGTACACCGCAGAGTCGTAAACTGTAGTTTCTGTTCCAGGAACCCCATGCAGCTCTGGAAGCATGCTTATACAGCCAAGTTCCCACAGGAGGTGAGTTCCAAGAGTAAATGTTGTCATGTCTCTGGTTTTGAAAATATTCATTGCATGATAAAAAATACAAATCATTTCTGTACAAAGTTTTTTGAAAAAAGGATTAAAAACAGGCCAAATGGAGAAATACTTAAAATATGTATACTCATAACTTTGGTACATGTATACATATATAGAGGTCACTTCAACTCATTCATTTGTCCATCAACAACTCTGTATGTCCATTAACACCTTTTCTGACCTTAACTTCTGTATTTAATTATGAAACTTCATAGGTCATTGTTATGCAAACAGTTCAATGTCATTCAATATATTCTAAATGCCAAGCTTGTAACATGGGACAAGATGTCAAATATTAATTCTGATTGGACACAATTTCTTTTTGAAACTTAACATGTATTTGTATTATGAGGCGAATGGTCAAGGTTAATGCCATGACAGATGGTTAAAGATCCAATCATTATAATGTGCTTGTGGAGCTAATAGCTTCAATGGAATAAAATGGATGTTGTGCACCTCTGAAAGGAGATGGGGGGGGGGGGGGGGATATGTAAGCGAGTCGTAATACATTTTGTTGATGTTTTTATTATCAAATTGTTTTTGTTTGATGGACAAACAAACCTTACGTATGTATAAATATACATTTCTCAACGTTTCAATTGTGTTACAATTGTTTATTGTTATTGTGGCTGCGCTGACAGTCGTCGGAGGTAGGTGTTTGTTTTTCGATTAAAAGTTGGTTGTTTGTAAAAGTGACGGCGGCGATTAGTACGGGTGATTAGTACCGAAAATCTGCTTGTTTCTTCAGTTTACATGTCATGTTTTATTGAACTGAATTTTTATCACCTGTGATGATTAGCTTATGTATAATGTATAATTACAGCAACATGAAAAATTGTAGTTAAAATATTAGTATGTTAACATGAATATGTTTTCTGTAATGAGCATGTAGAAAATCTATTTAGGTAATCCAGAGCCTCATCAGGTATAAGTACAAATAGAGAACCTCAATTGTTTCTTTTCATTATAAATTATATACCAAACATAATATTTCATTATTAATATTCATTTGGTCATTTGCATTTGTTCTCAGAAAGATTTATTTTGTCAGCTAATTGTTTTCCTTCAAATATACAAGAAAACACAAGTAAAAAATATATATGATTTTGATCATTTGACATATATTTTTTTTTATCGTCATTCATGTACTTTATGTAAAACCAAGAATTTGAATATGGTTCCTTCCTATTATATTTATAGATATGCATGCCATCTAAGGAACGTTCTTCTACTATATTTCCCGTGATCTTTTGCATCTCTTTGATGTCTCTTTGATGTCATTATTTGTTGTGTCCTGTCTGCTATGTTGCAATTTAGATCTTGACCTATTTTAAGTCTGCAGGAAGAAAGATAAACAAAGACAATGATTTCTAGAGGGATAATTATAACTGAATGACAGTGATGACTAAAAGGGACAGGATGATTTTATCTGAAATAATAATAACTAGAGTGACGATTGTTTCTGAATTGGCAATGATAAATAAATCAGCAATGCTTATCAGAGGAGCAATGCAGAGCAGTGGTTAAAAAGACATGCAAAGTTAATTATAACTGAAGACATACTGTATACGGTTTTACTATGTACTATAAGGTTTCGAGTCATGACCTTGACATCTGGTGACTTTGTATTTGTAGGATGTGACCAATCCAGCGATGGTTGAAGACCCGGCTAAAGATCCCCAGTACAAGGAGGCTGCTATTGACTCCCTAAGGTCTCAGAAGGACGAGGTAAGAACTTCAGTGCTACACGCCAACGTTAACAGTCAAATTATCCATCATCATTGGGTTTGTCTGGCACAACAGTAAAGAAAATGATGCTTGTGGGACCACACAGCAAATGATGTCCCTCTTGTGCCTGTGGCCATGGGACCTAAACCAGCCAGGCCATCAAAGTGGGATTTCACATTCTCCTGGAAGTGGAAAGCTTCAATAGTTTTCCCATTGGTTCGGGGGTATATTGACCAGGGTAGGAACATTCCTGAAGATTACGAAAAGACTTGAATATATTTTAATTACTTTTACACTGTAGTTCGTGTTCAATAAATCTTTCTTCTAATATAATGGATGGGCTTTGCGTGTGAGTGACAGGGAAATGGGAAGGATTGTCAGGATCTATTACTTCTATTGGGACTGGAAGACTGGAAAGAAAATATTATTTGTAACTACGGAGTACAGATCACGACAACTTGTACTGTGATATACACTCAATGAAGTCACATACACTACAAGACATTTTCTTACAATTGCTGTATTAAATACAGTGGTAAATCAGGTAGGGTAAAGACACAATGTTTGCATACAATGTAAATAATGTATGATATACCATGATGTTTGTCTGTGTCAGTAGTTGTTTATTTCTGGGTTTTTTCAACAGGAGTTGGAACGGTACAGACGGATGTCGGAGAGAAAAGCGAAGAGCGAAAAGAAATATGGAGGAACCTTTGCATCATAGATTAATTAGGTAAAGTGTTTTAATCGTAGCGGAACTTGACTTGGTCGATTGTCGGTGACCAGGTAGCTCGATTGGTAGAGTGTCCGTCTAGACTTTGGCGGGTCCTGGTTTGAATCCTGGTCTGGCTGTTGAATTTCTCTTTCTCCCGTTACATATAAATACAGTACATGCATTACCCAGATACATTCACAGTAAATATGATATGGAAATCACACTTATTATCAGGTCACTTGGCACAAAGTTCTTTCGAGTCTATCCAATGGAGCGACTTAGCTTCTATTATCTGTCGGGCATAAACTTTTTGAAAAAAACATTTTCCTAAGTTCTTTAAGTATTTTTACTCTTGACCCATGGTTTGATCAAACAAATGAACTTGACCTACGATGAAGGTCTAAAAGTAAGTTATGAGAAAAGAGCTTGATTTGCTGATATGTTGCTTGGATGAAGTGCTATCAAGTTTCTTTCAAGTCACAGGTGTCAGATCTGTTAGAATTTTTTGTAGGATTTTTCTAATGATCCATTAGGTCCCGAATAATGATATTTGGTCTGTGTTGGCTTGTTAGGACAACAGTCTATCAAGTTTAAGGAAATGACATAGATCCGCTTGGAATCACATGAGTGAAATCTATTGAAATCTTCCAATAAAGATCCAACAGGTGTAATGACGTTAAGCCATCAGTTTGAGCTTACTTGTGACCTAAAGTTTGTTTAAATTAGTTTGACCTTGACCAATTTAGATGGTCACAGAGGTGAGATGTGTTTGCCAACACTATTTTAATAACAGGGGAGCAATACAGGCCCATTGGGCATCTTGTTTGTTTGCTTTTCCCTTAACCCTTTCACCACTGTAGACGATAATGAATTCATCCATATCACTGCATGGTAGAGACTACTAAATTTACATGGGTGAAAGGGTTAAAGCTGCATAACAAACTTAATCCATGCACAGGTACTAGCCTCATCTGTCAATACACCCATAATAAATTATGGTCGTATTGACAGAACGAGTTGGGGCTAGAAACCGTGATCCATGTGCATAAAGTTCACTGTTGTATTCAGAAAGGTCTATTGTATAATTCAAGTAGGTGCATGAGAGTGGTGTGCAGTACTTGTCTGTGGTAGTGTAAATGTCCTCCACCTCGAGTGGACCACTTGACCGTAAGGGCGACAGATAGATCTGGCTCGAGTATCTAGTCGACCACCAGCTATAGGGGAAGTGCAGACAACAACTTCCTGTATATAAGCAATGTGCTTCAAGTAATTGATACATGCACCGGTAGAGCAGATTTGTAGTCAAGGCATGGTTAGCATACAACTGATATCTTTATACAACCAGATATATGGTCACGAGTTAGGTTAGCTTACAAAAATAATTTTATTGCGTTACCAAAAGTCACAGATCATGTTTGGAGGATGATCATAGATGATCTGTACCCATCCTGAAACAATCTCAGCATGAGGCTGTTTGATTGTGATCGAAGGGCTGGTCTAAGCCCTGTTTACCACATTATAATAATATTGTGGTTGCTAGGCTGCAGCGATATTCATACCTCAAGAAACGATACACATCGCAGTTCGATGCTTACGATACGAAACGTTTCCGATATAGATATCTGCTTTAAAGTTCTGCTTCATAATGATTGGGTCCAGGATTTTATTGAGTTTTGTCACAGACTTCAATAGTAAATACTATAGAAATACATTTTTGTATAATTTCTAGTACTTTTGGGTATGACTGCACACAGTGGACCACATCTTTACTGAAGGGTTAAAATAATATAGGTAACCTTTTTAGAGTTTGATAAAAATTGATTGATCATTTGTAAAAGTACTGTTAGTGTACCACGATACAGCAGACAAACAAAACAATTTGATACGATACACAAGAAAGTATCTCCGCAATAAAATATTTCGTTGCAGCCTTAGTATTTACCTCAGTTTCAGCTTCACCATCTACACTCTTTAATGAAGGTGGATTTATGATCGCAACAAGGCTAACTATACATAATACATGTCGTGCGTGAAGGGCAAAATTTACATTAGGGACAAATGTGAATTTTACTGGTGAATATTTCACGGGGCCAAAGTTTGAAGTACCCCATGTCGGACCTGTACATGAAAAGCACGTCTTCAGTGTTTCTCTCCTCTCCTCCTATCAGGTTTCAACTGATTTATATTGAATCAGTCAACCGTATCACTTGAACAGTCTCACGTTGTTGACAATTTAAGGCCTATGACAGAGATACAGACGAGGGATAATATGTTATCGCCTAGATTCGTATCGGTCGGACGACCTCGGTGGTACTTTTATTATAATGCCCAGCACACACATACAATTAAAATCACACACTTTAAGGATTGGTTTGAATTTCTAGATTGGATCGGAGATTAGTGAATTTAGAATCAGCGTGCATCAAAGGGAGCTTTAAATAGAATGTCACTCCTACTCTCTCTCCTGTCTGGTCTTCACCAGGTAACTACAGGAGTCCCTTCAGTCTTGTATAAAGTACTTAACTTCTCATCAAAGTTAACCCAGACATCTGAACAGTCTGTAACCGTATTTTTACGAGAGAATTATTTTTTGTTAAACAATGTACTATTTTCTCCTCTTTTTTTACTGATTCCAGGTTTGGGGAGAATGACCCGTGTGGAAGTACTGGACATCGACAGGTCCCTGGTCGCATGTGATTTAAATAACAGACAGTTCAACTTCTGCTGGATCTTTTTATTACGAACTGGTCAACTTGACTTGCTGAATAGAAACGATTCGGTGCAGGGAAGTCGGCAAAATTTTAGTACAAATGTTATGTAATTAAATTTGTCTTCGAACGAAATTACCTGTCACACATTGAGGCATAAGCTGGTCAGATACATTTCAAACTTTGTGAAACTACGTTTTACATCAGTGAGAAAGTTACATTGTATATCAAATTATCAATGAATACACAGAATTTGGCTAGTAAGATAATATCCTTCTGATCAGCTCACTCGTGTCAGGATGATATCATCCATAAAAGGCATGCCAGCTACAGGTTTGCTTCGTCAGGTCCCGTCAGGTCTGTTACGGACCTAACAGCTGATTAGGTGACTATACATAAACATGGACGACTATAGGAGACCTACATACACCACTTTGTGTACCAGTGTGATACATATTTATATTTATACATACTTATCCTGATATTGAGGTTGAGGATGTGAATACATTGCTCTGTATTTTTGAGACCACTGTTTTCACAATGGGTAAAGGAACAGCGAAGGAATTCAAAATCACCAAGGTCAAAGTTTGCCTTGGTAAAATGCAAAGTAAATGCAAAATTACTCTTCATTTCGCAGTAGTGATAATGCAGAAAAACGACTTTACGATGTTTGAACAAACATGTTGTATGTTATGCATTATGTGAGTAAAATAAGAAAATATTATATACATGTATATTTATTGTATACCCATATGATAAATCAAGGGTAGGTTTTTATATGAAATACAAGAATGCAAAAACAACAAAATCAACCACATGATGTTAAATGATATGATGGGGAAATCATCATTGTTCTTTTTGATAAAACTAAATAATGAAAACAAAAAATAATAAATTCATCAAGAGTAAGATCATTTATCAACTAGAAACTGGTTCAAACTCTTTCTGATTTAAGCTGACCACAAAATGCTGATATCTTGATAAACAGTGTTATTCAGTACAAATGTACAATGTATAAGGAACAATGAGGATGACTGAAAACAGCTGATTTTGTCTGGTACATGTTTGTGGTATCGTAGGCAATAATAATTTTTGTGCTACTATGTGTTCTAAATTCTCAATCATCAGGGTTATAATGAAATGTGACGTGTAACCTCTACAAACTGATTCTATATACTTTGGATAAGGTTAATACAGTGAAACCTGTCTAATGTGACACCTTGGGGACAATGCATTGGCATTGGTCAGATTATACAAGATGTCAGAATACACAGGTGTTATTTTGTATGTGAACCCTGTCTTATTTGACACCTTGAGGAACACAACATATTGGTTAGATTCATGATATCAGAATATACAACTCATATTTGGTTATTTTTTTAAGAAAAAGACAGTATGTCAGAATACTCCACAGTCATATTAGACAGGTTTTTCTCTAATTGTATGAGTGAGAAGAATGAAAGTTTGTGATAAATGGTAGCAAATTCATGTATATTTTTATTTAAACATTCCGTCCATTTAAAATACAAACATGGATTCTGCTTGACATTTTTGTTGTTGTTATTACATTGTCATCGTCTCTATAACATTTCGTCTCTATAACATTACGTGTATTTTACAAACCTCGTCCGATGTAGGATTGTAATGCATTGTTGAACCCATAAAGTCACCATTAAAAAACATTGTAGGCCTGTGGGAATCCTATGATGTATATGATTCAATGATATCCCTATAGTGGCGAGGGAAAAAGAGTTCTGTTAATTTACTTTCCTTCCTTTGATGTTATACATATTTTCCTATTTTCCTTTATACTTATTAGTTTACATAAATTCCTTAATTTCATGATATCAAGCAGTAAATATGTAAATAAGATTTTCTCTATCAAAGTCTGATTTATAAAAGTTTCAGTAGGTCTATAGGAAATCTGCATTAAATAGACCTATTCCGTCTTTGAGTATTGCAGAGTTATCTTCTCTTGGGAGCAGGTATTGATTGTTACGTCATTGGTTTGTGAGAGTAACGTCATCAATTTTTGAGAAAATGATGCAATTTTCTCACACAAACCAATGACGTAACAATCAATACCTGCTACCAAGAGAAGATAACTCTGCAATACGCAAAGACGGAATTGTATATATGTAAATTCTGAATTCTTAGACTGTTAATGTAAACATTTTAAACATTAACACATAGCAATGACACTGAATTGATCAATGACACAGGGTGAAGACATTGTGTAAATCCCCTAGTAAGGACGTTGTCTATTGAGAATGACACGATAGGCGTAGATAACCTCAAATTAGGTCTTTCTCAATACACATTCTTCATAATGCTATCACAGAAGTAAAATACCCAACACAATTTTGTCTGCTGATATAGTTACACACAAGTCCAAACTTTCTTATACAAAAATATTGTCATCAGGATGTCCAAATACAGTACTGTACAATGCAGATGAAAATGATCACTTATTTAAATTAACAGACACTTTCTCACTTTCACACTCTAACTGGAAGCGTTGGCAGTTTTAGGTACTTCTTGCCACATTTAAGGAGATAACATTAGATAACGTGATTTCACATCCAACAAATTGTAGAAACAGAATGGTTTTATAACGAAACATGTGGGATCCTGCGGTTACTTTCACATGTTGTAATTGTATTTCAAATCTTTTTGGAGGGGAATTCTGGACACCCAACAAAGGCTTTTTTCTTTCTTATTTTTTATTTCAAAATTAACTGGAGAAACTTTGAGCAGGTTCACAAAGTTTTAAGAGAAGTTGCGCTTGCAAAGTTTCAAGAGCAGGAATTTAAAGTTTTAAGGGAAATAACTCTGGAAAAGTGCCTACAGTAATACCTACTCCTTTCTTCATCCACATCTACAGATGATTTCATTCACTGTGCCAAGTTACAGCAAAATCTAATAAATGCTTTAGGATGAGCTGCACTTACAAAATGTCTGGAGCAGAGTTAAGGGCCATAACTCCAGGAAAAATAGTTTAATCGAAAATTCCTTTCTTCACATACATTTACAGCTGATCAACATTCACTGTGCAAAAAGAATTGCCCTTACAAGTTTTCTGGAGTAGATATTTTAAGTTCCGACAGCCACCATTCCGGGAAAAATTGTCAAATCACAAATTCCTGTCTTCTTTCACATTTACATATGGTATTTACATACCTTTGTCAAGTTACAATTTAAAGCTCCAAAGGGCCATAACTCAAGAAAAAATAGTAAAATTGAAAATTCCTTTCTTTGTTCACATCTACATATGATTTACTTTCAATTAGCCAAGCTACCGAAAAAACAAACAAACGGTTTAGGAGAAGTTGCGCTTACAAAGTTTCGAGAGCAGAAATTGAAAGTTTTAAGGGCAATAACTCCAGGAAATATTGTCGAACCTCAAATTCCTTTCTTCATGTACATTTTCACTATGACAGGTTGTAAAAAAATAAAGATAAAGGAATCTATTATACAGAAATCCATGAACTAACGCAATTTTTGGGGGAAAACTGGCCATAGAAAAATTGAAATAATCATGGTCAGTTTAGAATGTCGAAATTTTGTCGAATTCTCCCTACTTGTGGACGGAATGAGAACACTGGGTGATGACAAAGTAGCTACATAGGCCTACCATGTCTGTGGGATCTGACATTTTCTATGTTGTTCAGGACATGTATTATTCTATGTGATCATATTCAAAGGTCTGTACAAATGACTACTACACCAAAATGACAATGTTCAGTAATCAATATATCTTGCAACAGAAGTGATCCTCTAAATATTGAGTTAAATGAAGATTAAAAGGGATCAAACTCATGAAAACGATGGAACCTAAAGGTTGCATATATAATACCTAGTGGAGTCCCATCGGTATGGCATACACAGAAACTAGTCGACAAGATCTACAATGGATAAAACACAACATGGGGAGGGGGGAAGGTCTGTCAGTGACAATGTACTACAGAACACAATCGCCAGTACTGGTCGTGAAATACCCAACCATAGGGCGAATGTGAATCAATATGTGTTTGACGTGGTACATTAGGCGGAGAACTATTAGAGTGCACTTGACCTCTGACCTGTATGTCTTTGTCTCATGGTGATTGTGTCTCCAATACGGGCAACTATAATTACCGGACAGTCTGGGAGACAAACTATATACGAACATTTTTGGCGGGAAAAACATTGACCACAAGATGTTGACGACATGTGTGTCTGCAGTCCTTGAATATATGTAAATGAGCGAGCATCGTCCGATTGGCCGAAACTGAAGGTTCTGCACGCGCCTTCTGATGATACAAGAAGACTAGTTTAATGTTGAGGTGTATCAAAAGAATCGCGTGGCAACGTATGTACGTAACGGTTCAATGGACCGGTTTTGAAGTCATGTTTTTGCTCCTACGTAATCTTAAAAGGACAGGTATCAGCCTAGCGATTCATCACATTTGTTTCACCCAAAACCAATCAAATAGCTAGCCATGTGTCTTCGATTTGTCATGTCAAACATATTCCACGCACTGTGAATAACTTATTATCATGTGGTTGATTTAAAGAACCCACACAAATGAGGCATTTAGAAGGACTTTAAATTGCTTTCTGGAGAAACAGCAAAAAAACTGGGCGAAACAAACGAGACAATACATATATGTATAACGTTCTGGGCTGAAACTGCTTGGTAGAACGGCTATTTGTTATTCATTGACGCATTACACCGGAAGAGCGACTGTAGACCATCTATCACGAGGGCTCTACGGCACCGCTTGATAATGTTTGAATGTAGTGTTTCCTATAGTTTGTTAACCTATAAATAGAAATTCATGCAATTACTTGAGCCGTAAGCCATTCACCAATAGCAAGTGTTTATATGCATTACTTCATCCAGTGACTTTGTTGATTCCGGGCCTGTCGGAACATATAACATCGATAGGTAATTCATGAATATTGAGATATTTTATCATTTTCTTCTGTTGTTTTTTCGCATTTGGAACAAAAACAAAAACAAACATTTAAAGTGAACACTGTTTCAGTTTGTCAATAGATGCCGCCAATATCAGAATTATTTTGTTACCCCCATTAAAACGTGCTGAGCTTCGCTTTGTGTCTGAATACCAATGTACGATCTGCCCAAACCGTGATGAATATGCTCTTCACTTCGATCAGTTTTATTCAGTTTGCACTTATGTAAGCGCCATTTTTCCAGGGAAATATTGTGACATTTAAGACAACTTAGGACATGACGGTATAATAATAACCACACACTTCCTGTCGACTCCCTGCCGTCATTCTTGCGCTATACGGGTTCCGGGGACAAAGATCAGAATAAACGGATGTTTTCTAGCCATTGCACAAAAATGATTATTTATGGATCTTGTAATGTTTCATATTGGTATAGGAAGCAGAATAACTGATTTTTTCCGGAAAACTTGAGACAACGATTTATCGTTTCTTCGATTAAAAATCCATGGTTCAAACATAAAAAAGATCACAAAATAGTCGTATAACATGAGCCACCTTAAAACGGACACGTCGTGTAATGTTAGAAACTAAAACGGAAACGTCGTGTAATGGTAGAAACTAAAACGGAAACGTTGCGTAATGGTAGAAACTAAAACGGAAACGTCGTATAATGGTAGAAACTTAAAGGGAAACGTCGTATAATGGTTGAAACCAAAACGGAAACGTCGTGTATTGGTAGAAACTAAAACGGAAACGTCGTGTAATGGTAGAAACTAAAACGGAAAAATCGTATAATGGTAGAAACTAAAACGGAAACGTCGTGTAATGGTAGAAACTAAAACGGAAACGTCGTATAATGGTTGAAACTAAAACGGAAACGTCGTGTAATGGTAGAAACTAAAACGGAAACGTCGTGTAATGGTAGAAACTAAAACGGAAACGTCGTGTATTGGTAGAAACTAAAACGGAAACGTCGTATAATGGTAGAAACTAAAACGGAAACGTCGTATAATGGTAGAAACTTAAAGGGAAACGTCGTATAATGGTAGAAACTAAAACAACGTTTGGTTCGTTCACTAGCATTTCGTGTTATACTACTTTTACGTATTTACCAAGATGAAGGACGCAAAATAATCGTTTTGAGCACGTCGCAGTCGATGTGAGATTCGTATGGATAATACTTTGCATGATCACTAGTCCGAAATGCCTGTGCACGCCCTCCGTGGATGCTCCATCACCTACACCTAAATTTTGATCTTTTGTTTTGGTGACGTTTCTCCTCTGCGTTTGGTGTCTCCTCATATTCTAGTTTTTAAGAGTCTCTTTTTGGTGTATTTTTGTCCTCTTTTAGTGTTGCTTCGTTGCTTTGGGACCATGCACTAAGGTATTAAGCCAATGGGTCAAAGTTTAATTTTCATATTGCATTATAGTCAATGTTTAAAAAAAAATAAAAATTATATAGATATATTAAGATTAGGGTATAAATATAAACTTTATTTATTTTACATCAATTATAAATCAAGTAATTTCAACTTATATTAATCACGCTTCTTGGCCCAGATATCAGCGCTCGAAGGGTCTTAATGTGGTAGGACACCGGAGTACCCAGAGAAAACCCACGTGTTCGGGCAGTTGACCCCATACCTTTTCACGTCCGATCGGGGAATCGAACTCTTCTGGTCGCCTTAGTGAAAGGCGCTATCCACTGCACCACCCGACCATGATTAGGAGTCCAGGGGTAAAGAAAGGGTCATCAGCTGTTAATTTCTAATGTTAGGCTTAGTTCTCTTAAAATGAAAAAATAACCAATGAGAGCATGAAAAGAATCAAGTTACATCACCTTGGATATAATTGCATATATTTTATTATGCATCTTCGTTTTCTTTGTTAAGCTTTCTAATTACTTTTGTAATTACAAATTTAAAATCTTGAAACTTTGGACTAAAGCTCTGAACATGTGAACTTTGAATAGTAAATCAGCCGTTATCAAAATTGCGATTAGACTCAAAAGGGGCTTACAGTTAGTGTGTTCGATAATATTTTACAGACAGAACACTGTATCTGACAGAAACGGTTTTCAGGTGAAAACAAATTCTTTGTACGGAAGCTAAGAGTCATTTCTATTTGCAATGTCACGACATTACCAATGTCACGACATGGCAATTCGGGCACCTGCTGGTAATTAAGGCCGTTCTAAATTGCGACTGACTGAATAATATCGCAGTGCTTTAACATTTTATTGATTCAAGAAATCCCTGAATAACACTATTGCTTTTCGGGTATGTCCATATGCTTTGCAGAAGACAAGACCTGGCATCGAGATTACATCACCCTCCCCCGCAATATATATCAATATGAGTGTGTATATTAGCCTTGTGTATTGGGACATGAGTTGTAACTTGTGTATTGAACAAATTTGATCGGCAACGATTAACGATAAATACAAAATATTAGCATTAAATATTGCGTGATTTATTCAAATTACGGCAACGCTAGATATAGAACTCTATTCTTAAACTACGCCGTACGTAGCCTAATATCACGGTAAAATTTTAGGTTCTCTTTCGTATTTGTTTAGTATGTTTCCTGTGCGCATGCGTAATCGGCATTTGTAACAGAGTACCTGTTGTAGGATATTCACAGGATCTTCCGCTTGCAGTGTTTTGATTCAATATTTCGTTTCTTTTAAATATTCTCCTGGTTGGACATCGTTCGAGGTTAACTGGAACGTTTTGCAACGAACAGTTTTCTGCCTGGCATACTGTAACATCGGTATGGGCGTCATTTGGATAAATTTTCCGATGGTTCTGCATTGCTGAAACGCCATGATTCTGGACTCGGCTCTTTGAGAGTGCTGTTGATTAAGTGTGTGTGTCAGGAGAGATTCGGCGACAGTACACATCGATACGTGAAACGTTTACAGGTGAGCATAATTCGTCAGGTACTCTACCGTTTCTGTGTTATGTCTGGAGATAGTCTGTGGCAGCGTAAAGGTATGGACCGGGATTAAAAATGGCTGCCACCGTGAATAATATTCATTCCACTTTCTTACCGAGCAGCAAGTAGATCTATGATTTGACAGTATAAGCAGGCGTTTTTGCTAGGTTGGTGTCTTATTCAGCGTGACAATCCTACCTTTGAACTAATCGCATGATAAATACGAGCCCAATGTTATGATTTTTTAAGAAGGACTTATTTTCTGAACACCGACTTGACCGAGGTAAATGCAAAACTGTCCTAGTTCTCAGGGCCTCTGAACCGTGACTGATATCACTTCATAGAACTTAGGAATGTAGGGCGTGAATATGAACAGTACGCCTTGACCTCTTGCTTTGTTACCCTACCCTTCGGCCCGTACGTGACCTCTTATCTACATCGTTTGTGTACCCTATAGATACACACATCACATCCAGGTATATCATGTAACAGAAGGGTTTAGATTATTATTAAGCTTGGTCAGGTAGCAGTGTGATTAAGCTTGGTCAGGTATAACATTGTGATATCATCCTGTGAGCTATGTGCTTCACTACACAGGTGGAACGCTGAGGGAAGTGTGTTGGTGTAAACAAGTTATTTTTGAATGAATCCAACAAAACAACGGTTAGTGTTGTTTTATGTCATTTGATCATTTGTAACTACTTATGGTAAACTGGTTGAAAGTTGTCTATATGTATCAGTGTTTAGTTTGATTCGATTGGACATATAATTTACATCCAGTATATTTGGTTATAATATAAGTCTCAGATGTGATCACACATCTAGATGAGTCCAGGCTGAAAGACAATTAGTTAATACCAGATTATTATACAGCAGATGGAGATCTTGCCCAGAGCTAAGGTTATTAATTAACTTGTGATGACAAGTTATACCTATAAGGATTATCCCTGTAAATAGGCTAACATGTACAATAGGGTGAAGGTGTTGCCAAGCCTACAATTAAATGCATGCTCAAAACCTAAATTTGGCCTGAGATTGTATAGAGAATAAAAACAGATTTTGTTTATGATGATCAGTGTGCAGATTGGTTCATTTTAAAAATAGAGCGGTCGCAATACACTTTACCCACGATTCGTTACCTATCTTGATATTTGTACCACGATTTGATTATTTCGATTCGATACACCTTTATTTTAAAATATAAATAAAATGAGATATATATATATAAGCCGTCGATACACGGAAACCCACGGAGCATCACAAATTCTTATTTCCTTACAGCGTTACGCCATTTTGTTATGAATGCTTTGTGAAAATTGCATCCTCGCAACCGATTGGTTGAGGGTTTAGAGATCAGCCAATGAAAATGAACGTCTCACAGACGTTTCGACTGAAACGGCATACACTAATATTCAGATCGTGACTATCGAAAATCTGGAAAAATATATCGTGAATCGAATCGAGCATGAAAAATCGCGGTACAAGTGAATGGTGACGCCTCCATTTAAAAGGCAACAGTGTGTTGGTATTTAATAGATCAATGAAAATGGTGTCATCCTATTAACTCTGATTTAGACATATACATACAATTTTTGACATATTTATAAATGTCACACATGGTATAATGTTCTCATTAACAGTCTATTTCTATTCAATTTTTTTGAAACATGGAGTTACTTCTGTAAGAACAACTAAGCCATGATAACAATATATTGATCACGTGAACAGTTAAGAAAATAGATGTTGGTGTTATTTTGAAAAAAGTGTTTGATGGCTGGGAAATCCTTGAATAACATGTTTTTGTGAAATTACAATCCTGCATCAATCATTTAGTTTATAACAGGGTTGGTTATAAAAAAAGTCAGGTCTTGAATTCAGCCTTGACATTTAGCAGTTTCAGAAGGCTAACATGCTAACCATGAAGTTCGTAGAGTCAAATTAAATTTACACATGTTAGTTAGATATGTCTCAATTGTCCTTCCAGGAGTCGAAATAAATTCATTATGGAGAGTCCGATAGATATTCAGGGGCTTAATTAGTTACTACTTTCTGACAACTTATATTAGTATGATGTCACCAATAATCTTTAAATGTTGACATCCTGAAGGGACAGCATATCTTCCCAATCTGAATTATTTCAATTCTGTGTGGCACATATGAACATCTAAACATCATTTTATGAATAAATGTGAAGAGAAAAAAAAGCACATTGTATATTAACTTAATGAAGCCAGTGACAGTATTTCGTCTCACTGATATTCTACATAGTTACATTGTGCTCTACAGATGTTTTTCCATTACAGAAAGCAATTAGCAGTTAGTCTCATATTGTTGACAAGTTTAGTGTCGTCAACATTACCACTATGTAGCTAGGGACATGAACTATGTAGCTAGGGACATGAACACATGGCAATTTTGTATGACAATGCAAGTTTGGTTTGTATACTGCCATTCAAGAGTTTGTTTTTACCATCATGTTCTTCTATATATAATTATATATATGCGTGTTTGATTGGCGACAGATTAATCATGGCATACAATGAAAATGATTAGATATCCCAAATAACGACTTGTGTACAATAACTAGGAGTGATATTCATTATCCTGTTGATTACATACTAACACACAATGTATCAACATCAATGTTGACTGGTCATGAAAATTCATTAAAACAAAGCTAGGCATAAGGCATGGGACTGACCAATGTAGTATTCCCATTGTAGATCTAGACCACTAAGTGGAAGCTTAAGAGTGAGGAACATAACAAATATTTATTGTGACAGTCTTGTTAACTCATTCACCCCTGCAGACACATTTTGAACTCTTCCAATTCAAAGGTTGGAATAGTTCATTATGAAACTTCAGGGGTAAATAAGTTAATATGTAATATATCTAAACTCAGTTTGTTCAAGTGTGGTTAGCTTGAATTGACATTTGATCATGATAATTGACCAGGAACACTTACATATATATAATGCTTTATTTTCTAATTTCATGTAAGAACAAGCTGTTGTAAAATTTGGGTTGAAAAATCACTGCCAATATCTACTATGCAGATATCAACAGGTGAAAATTGATTGTATTTGTATAGAATAGTGATTTTTTCCTGTTTATCTTCCTGATAAATGAAATGGAATTTCCTGGAAAAGAGTGAAATAATAAATGAGCTTTCCAAAATAAAAGACCGGAGACACATTTGTCAACAACAGAAATAGAAAATTAATAATATCTCAACAAAACAAAGAACAAAGGCACAACGGAAAATATTTAAAAAAAAATCATAGAATTCAAGGGAAAATATTTTGAACTTAAATTCATAAAACTAGGATATATAATTATTTGGCGGTCATGTCATGATCTGTAGTGCTGAATATTTCAGAATTTTTGATTATTTTTCTTTCCTGAAAAATCACTGAGAGGTTTCATATGTAATATCATTTCTAGATATTAAAAAACCCACATATATTAACATTGTATAAGAAGCCTCTAAAGAGTATTTCTTCTGCTTAATAATTAGGGGACATGGTCGAATCACACATTGATATATATATATATATTCTAGCCCCATTCAAACACTTGGGATGTAATCTTTTTCATTTCTTATTCCTCTAAGCTTTCTTTTTGGCATCAATCTTTTCCATTTCTTATTCCTCTACTCTGTCTTTTTGATGGTATAACCCTATTGTCCCCAATCGATACCTTGACTGTTGGGAGGATGTTAATTCACACACCAAACAAACATTTACTGGCCTCGTTACGGACAGCCACGTCTCAGAGGTGGCTTAAGCCGCTCTGTATCATCTGTTTATTACAGCATCGATATCTTGCAGTGCCTTTGCAAATCTGACACATGTCAAAAATGTTTATATGAAAAAATAACATGTGTGTTTGTTTGCGACTGATTTTACTCAAAAACATGATATTGATTTGAAAGTACGATAGTGTCTGATGTTGGAACAAATGCAATATATAACATTGCTTAGTTTTTACATCGTTTCTGATGCGAATGTAGCATTATGTATCATTGTTAGACTTATGTTTATAGATTCTGGTCTTACAGATCTAGAGTAAATACACTATGTAATAAATGAATAATTATAAGTGCAGGGTAAAATCGTGAGGTGCATGTAATTTCTGATAATAGTGATCATGATAATATGAGGTTTTTGTGCCTGTTGTAAATAGACTTAATGTGGCATGTAAATATAATATGTATCATTGTGAGGCCTAGTAGTAAATATTGTATGTTACATTGTGAGGTTTAGTAAAAGAATGAATAGCATTAGGGTATGTTACATTATGAAGTTTAATAGTAAAATAAATATGGTATGTATCATTTTGAGGTTTAGTAGTAGAGTAAATACTGTATGTAACATTGTGGGGTTTAGTAGTAGAGTAAATACGGTATGTTATATTGTGAGGTTAAGTAGTAGAGTAACTACGGTATGTAACATTGTTAGGTTTAGTAGTGTACTATCAGATGTGTTTGTGCTCTACATTTCTAACCTTTTGCGACATTAAGTAGATTTCAGTGTATTGTGGGAATGGCTTTGTGGGATCAATATCCTCATCCTGAAAAATCAATCATTGTCATGATATCCGTATCATTTTTGTTTTGTTTAATTGCAGTAACTGTACAAAAATAAAAATAAATATATCTATATTATAACATTGAGTAATTCTTCATTAATAATAATGGTTCAGTTCTTCAGGGGGCTGCAGTGGCCAAGTGGTTTAGGCATCTGACATTCTGCTATCACTAGCCCTCCACCACTGGGTTGCTGGTTCAAGACCTACAAATGGGGCAGTCACCAGGTACTGGCTGTAGGTCGGTGTTTTTTTCTCGGGAACTCCAGCTTTCCTCCACCACCAAAACTGTGCACATCCTTTAATGACCATATAGCTGTTAATGGGATGTAAAACACAAACAAAACCAATCAATTCTTCGCCACTACACAATGTAATTCTTCATCACTACACAATGTA